TTCGTGTAGGTGAGCTAAATATGGGACGTTAACGTTACGAAATAAGTATGGAAATAACTATAGGATACGATTATGTTTTCTAATGTTAATATTTTCGAGAGTTCTCTTTGGTTTAGAAAAAATATGCTACTTTTGGCTTTGTATTTTAACACGGCGTAAGATCAAGTAACCAGGAGCTTCTAATTTTAGATATGCAGATTTTAGACAATTTTCAATTTTTGGATATGAAGTGCACACGCGACACTCATCATATTTTAAGATATAAGTGTGCAGAGTATATCTAATTACTGAACAAAACTAGGTGAGTGTCCCTCATGCACTTCATATTCTAACCATCGAATAATATATGCCACCCCCTTATATTTTCCCATTAGCCTAATGTTAAAGCATTTGAGGGTACATCTAAGAATGTGCCAACTATGGCGTGAATTCATCTCATATAAACTCTTGAAATATAAATAACAAAAATTAACATATATATCTTGAATTCTAAACCAATTTTCAAAAAATAAAACGAAATTTATTTTTATGAAAATAAGTGGGCCGATAAGCGGCCTTATCGAAACTCCCCCTTTCTCTCATGAATGTACTGTAAATATTTCATGCTTGAATGATTCTGAATGATATTAAAGTACAGGTCCTCTCTACTTTACAAGTACAGAGTACTTTCAAATCATTATTATGCATGTATACTGGATTATTGATACTGTATGTAAAATTGACAAAAAAAAGGATTTTATTTATCATTATTGCTTTGCACAATTTTCAGTTTATTTGATATTAAAATATCAAAGAAAATTTGTTCATTTCCTTTCAACAAGGAATATATCTGTCACTTAAAAAAATGATGTAATGGGTATAATATTTACATTTATTCATTGTGTAAATAAAGGCAAATTTTCAAATACTCTACATAAATTTCTATCTTAATGTGTAACTAATACCATATTTCTCAGGTAAATAATATAAAATTTCTTCTAACTAAAGTACTATTATGCAACAGGGACAAGTAAATGAACTCCAGGCAGTTGTGGGTAGGTTACAGGTACTGCTATAATATCACAGTATACCCTCTGTAGTATGGCATAATGAAATATGACAACACTGCTAACATGAGTTGACATGAAGGGGAAAGAGTGCCATAATCTTTACACAGTTTTTCATAATGCATGGTGAATATTTTGATGTACTGGTAACTATAAAATTCATTTGTCACAATTGTTGTCTTAAACTTAAATTTGCTGTTTAAATACTGAACATTCACAAAAATAATTTGTTTAATTTCTCTTGACTGAAATACATTCAATATGATTACAAAAAATAGAATTTGATGTGTAGATAGCAGAATATATTTTGTGCATAATCAGTGATTTTTCTACACCCATTTTAGGTCCGAATATCGGCCCTTTCCCCTATCAAAAATTACCGATTTTTTCCCAATTTCATTTGCTTTTTTCCCCAAATAAAACGTTCTTGTTTTTGTCATATTGATTTTTTTTATGTAGGATTTATCTAAAATGGAACACTATTGTTCTCGGTCAATAATAGTCATGATAGTGAAGAACAGCTGATTATTTTATGCATTTACAAGACATAGAAAAACATGGAACATGTCAAACTAAATGCATCATAAGAAAATGTAAGATGCATGTGAACTGGCGAAACATAGCTTTATTTGTAAATCAAAGTACATGTACTAGTAGCTCTACAATAAGCCTGATTCCAACTGTATCTGTGACATCCGGAAGATGCAACTAATATTGCAGGGTAATTGCAGCAATATGATAAGGGTAACTTAAAAAGCTTTAATAACTAGTTAGAAAAAAAAGGATTTGTTATAAATCATGTCAGGTTATATCACCTTCAATGGCTATTATGAGTAGGATTTTCTCTTATGTCTACCATTATGGGAAAAAAAACAAGAGGCCCATGGGCCTTGAATCGCTCTTCTGATAAACTGTACAACCTATCACTTCTATTTGAAGCCTCGAAGTATCCTGTATATTTACATAAACCCTTGAAATTCCAATTCACACTCTGAGAACCCAAGATGATTAAGCCAATTAGTACCTGAGAGTTGGTCATGGTGACCTACTTATCACTTGTCATTCTCTGAGGACCCATCAACTAAGTTTGATGATTCTAAGCCAATTAATACCTAAAATATTTTTTAAAATTATAATCATAAAATTTTATAAGCAGGTCAAAGTGACCTACTTTTCAATTGTTTTACTCCAAGGACCCAAGATGCATCAACTGACAAAGTTTGATGATTCTAAGCCAATTAGTACCTGTAATATTTAATTAAAGCCATAAATTTTCAAAAGTAGGTCACCGTGACCTACTTTTCAGTTGCTGTACTCCAAGGACCAAAGATACATCGACTGACAAAGTTTGAGGATTCTAGCCAATAAGTACCCAAAATATTTAATTACAGCCATAAATTTTCAAAAGTAGGTCACAGTGACCTACTTTTCAGTCAACCTACTCCGAGGACCAAAGATGTATCAACTGACAAATTTTGACGATTCTAAGCCAACTAATTCCTGAAAATATTAAATACAGCCATAAAATTTCAAAAGTAGGTCACAGTGACCTACTTTTCAGTTGTTGTACTCCGAGGACCCAAGACGCATCAACTGACAAAGTTTAATGATTCTAAGCCAATTAGTACCCGAAATATTTGATTAAAGCCATAAATTTTCAAAAGTAGGTCACCGTGACCTACTTTTCAGTTGTTGTACTCCGAGGACCCAAGACGCATCAACTGACAAAGTTTTATGATTCTAAGCCAATTAGAACCCGAAATATTTAATTAAAGCCATAAATTTTCAAAAGTAGGTCACTGTGACCTACTTTTTAGTCGACCTACTCCGAAGACCCAAGATGCATCAACTGACAAAGTTTGATGATTCTAAGCCAATTAGTACCTGAAATATTTAATTATAGTCATATAAATTGAAAAGTAGGTCATATGGTGACCTACTTTTCAGTTGACCTTTTTTGAGGACCCAAGATGCATCAACTTACAAAGTTTTATGATCATAGGACTTAAAATGTCCAAATTATGCCTCTAAAACACTTTGAAATCGAATGCCTGCAAAGTTCAAAAAGTAGGTCACTGTGACCTACTTTTTAATAAATATGTTTTATGGCCCCAAGAGGCATCATCTTACAAGATTTAATGATTCTAAGCCTCCCCGTATTCGAATTAATGACCTTAATTGTTTTAAAAAAGATTAGCCATAAAATTCAAAAAGTAGGTCAAGGTGACCTACTTTTTAAGTGACGTACTTTGACTACCCAAGATGCATCAACTGACAAAGTTTGATGATCATAGGCCTTAAATTGTTCAAAATATGCCTCTAAATCATTATGAAAAAGAATGGCCGCAAAATTTGAAAAGTAGGTCACCGTGACCTACTTTTGAGTCAACATGATATGAGGTCCTTAGATGCACCAACTGACAAGATTTGATGATCCTAGTCCTTATAGTAAGCAAAATATCAACATTTTAATAAAATGTAATTTTTGGTCAACTTTGAAGTGACCTTGAGACCACGCCCTTTGCCCCTGGGTAAATCCCCGTGCAAATTTTAATCTACAACATATCCTCATCCTTTTGTGTAAGTTTGGTGATAATCTGCCCAGTGGTTCTTGAGAAGAAGATTTTTTAGCAACCAGTACTTTTGTTTCTATTTTCCTAATTATCTCCCCTTGTTAAAGGGTCACAACCCCAGTTTTAGCATAAAAGGGAGCCCTTGAGCCAAGGATACCCTGTGACAAATTTGACAATAATTGGCCAAGGGGTTCTTGAGTTATGGCCCATATTCTAAAAAGTTTACGCACACCGCACAAATGGCCATAGCATTAGCTCTTTGAGCCTTTGGCTCAGAAGAGCTAAAAAAAAAAAAAAAAGGAAATATAGGACAGTCTCAATTAATGATAACTTTCAAAGATTAAAAAAAAAGTTAAAAATGTAGAACTGTGTCTAATTTGTTATTTTGTAGTAAATATTTTGAATAAAAGATGTAACATTTACTTATATATTTTATTTTACCTGTCAATTAAGGTTAATTTCAATCTTATTGATTTTTCCCAATTTGACACAAATGTCAATAATTTTTCCCAATTGTAAAGGCCCAGGCCCCTTTTAAAAAGTGTAGAAAAATCACTGGCATACATAACAGACTTGTACAAGTGATTACTAAGGATAACCTGGAGATAATCTGTATGTTTTCTAACTAAATCTTACTTGGGATCATGCATTTTATTGCTTTTTTTCTATAAATTGCAATGCCTAGTGGAAAATACCCTCAGATGTGTGGGAAATTTGAAATTTTTAAAATATTTCATAAATGTAATACTCAGGTTTGTCCCAAGCACTTAGATACCAGAGTTTATTCATGTAACAAAAAGTACACAATAAATGTACATGTATCAATTACTTAGGCTACAGCAATTTTTTGCAACACTTAAAAAAAAACATTTACAAGGGTCTGTGATAAACCAAGTCATGTATTGACATGTAATATTACAACAAATACGTTAATAGATGCCGGAAGAACCCTCTACAGTAATTGACTGCACATATATATTACATAAATCAAAACCATTTGACATGCAATGATATGTTTTGAACACTTTAAAGCTTCAGCTATCCTTAACATAGCTGTGGGTGCTTTGTCTATGTGGCTCTCTGGTCACTGCAGAAGAAACTGCCTGATTACCACATTCCTTCTTCTGTAAATGTCTTTGCCTTAGGGACCCTAACTTGTCATTTCCAGGATGTGACAAGGCACCAAATGTAAAAAGAATGGAAAACATGCAATGGACAAGACCAGGATTCAAAACCCTGGACTCAATAACTGTAGATAGTTGTCACACCCATTTGGACATCAGTAAATAAATCTGTTTGACTGCCTTTCAAAATATTCCATAAAATCAACTTTCCTATGAAACATTCATTAAAGTGTGCTACACTTTGTGTGTCCACTTACCCAGTTCACTGTGCATTCTACCAGGTGAAGAGGACATATTGAGGGCTTCTGCAGAGGAAATTCTGGTCTGTATGATGTCACTATGGGTACTGATGGGGCGGGGCCTGGGAGGGACATCTGGGGGAGGATTACTACCCAAACTACCCTGAGAGGAGCTACGATGCAAGGTAGCCATTTCTGTAACACAGTCAAAATTAATGTACAATTTGTGAATATGTAACAAATAAACCGAATAATCTAATTCATGGATAAAAATCAACATTTATACATTGCATTTTGTCTATAACACAACAGCTTACAAAAGGATTAATAATATAATGCAGTGTAAAATTTTATTAAGATCTTTTACTTTTGCCATATTTAATTATTGTAGATCACTAAATTTTCGCCACACCTTATTTTCGCGATAAAGTAATTTACTCCAAATTAGCGAGACAAAATTTTCACGAATTGTGGTCATTGCTCTATATACCGTAGATTGGCAAATAATCACAATAGTTTTAATTTCACTATGTTCACGTTTTATCATTTTTCCACAAAATTAAACCCATCGTGAATGCTATTATTAGTTTTTAGAAACGTTTAAATGCTTATACAAAATTTAAATTAATTTCTTGCAGCGTGAAATTAAAATCATTGCGATTGGTACTTTTTGAGAAATTGTGAAATTTTAACATCGTGGAATTAAAACGACTTACAGTAATCTTTAGGAATACTAATATATGCGAGAATAAAATTTTCGCGAGCACACTGCTTCGCGTATTTATGCGAAAATAACGTTCTCACAAATAAAGAGTGATTTACAGTAGCTCTGAAAGATAGACAAACAGAGAATATAAATCTCACACACTTGCTGTTACGAGATGGGCATATAGTTGGAATATATACACACAAAGTTTGTTGCCTACTGTGTAAAATGGGTTATAAATTCGTATATGATTTATGTAAGTCTGTAATAATGAAAGTTTCGGCAACATCTCTAAAGCTAACAGGCAGAAGTGTTGAAACTCAAAATTCTGTTCTGCACTAATCCAAAAACTGCTTAAAATCGATTCAGTAGTTTCAGAGAAGAAAATAAGGAGAATCACAAGGTATTACTTACCTTTGCGATCAGCTACAGTTCCACTGGGTGCAGTTGGAAGTCGTGGTCGCCTGGACAGAAAAAGACAATTCATTTATATACCAGTAATGCACAAAATGTCACATGTTAGAAGATCAAAACAAAGCAAAACAATAACATTTCAGACCTTCTCATTTGTAAAGTAATAGCCTTTTTTTGTCATGAAGATAGTTAGAAACAAAGAGAGAGAGTTTCTTTTTTAATCTACAGTCACATCCCTATAAAGTTAGCAATGGGGATAATTATCAGAATAAAACAAAATAAGATTAATCCATATATATAAAACATCAAAAACATCAGGAATTGGTGAACCTTGTAAATATGTTCTTGTAGCCTCACTCTGTGATGTGGGTGAGTATTAATTACTTATGACATTTGTAGAGCCGAGATCAAAGAGTGTTATAGATTTATTTTCAGAGATATGAATTCCTTGATCAATGCCTGGATTCCAAGATTATGTAACACTGTAATATTCATTAAGAACCACATCATTAGAAGCTGCTATACTAGTAACAGGTGTGTATGGGATTTACAAATAGGTATAATAAAGAATAATAAGGGAGTGTTATCATAGATTCAGTGGTGTTTGACTATCATGCAAATAGCTCTAAGTTCAATCAACCTTAAACACTGTGTAACTTTACCATAAAACTTAGTCTACATTGGAATGAATTATACTCAGTTTGTACATCTATGTATATATTGTTTTTCCCTCAAAAATTAAATAAGAAGTATCTTTTGAAGTCCAAAAGCCTAGAACATGAATGACAAATATATCTTTGATCTGAAAGTCAGTTTTCAAATTCACAATTAAAATTATCTGCAACATATTTCAAATAAAAAAAAAAAATACCAATCCTTCTCTCTGACTAGAGACAAAATCATGAAGATTTTAAGTAACTATAAATAATGCAAATCTCTTGATGAAACCATTGAGTGTATGCAGCTGTACTTGTGCACACTTTCCAGTAATTGTGGCCTTGACACAAGAGTCTAACAGACCAAATAAACCATACTGATAATTTTTTTATTTCTTCACTCTTGTTTCATCATCAAGGTCTTTTAATTAAACTGCTCAAGCAGCACTGTACTCACACCAGATATTTACAACATTTAGATATTGTTTTTTGACAGCTTGACCTTGACCTTTAATCCTGTATTCCAAAAGAGATACATGTACTTTACTTCTTTTCCCAGACATTTCATAACTGGGCTCAAAATTATGTGTCTTGTAATGTTGTGATAGAGCAAGGCTCACAGGGCATTCCACTGTAGAATGCCAATCTTACATTGGTCCCAGCGATTCATTTAGATCCGCTGGGCGGTGGGGTGGTGATACAGGCTCGGCTGGGGTACTTGGTTGGCTGATACATCCGCCAATCATGGAAAGCCACGCCTTCATGTCCTCATGATTCTGAGCCTCAATCACATATTCACTGGTGCCTTGTCCCTACCAACAAATAAAAAAAAAAACGCTTATCAAGAGGAAACTAATGGATGTATCTCCCAAATAATGAATTGATCAGAAAAATCTATTGTAAATATGGATGTTTATATGTACTGGTATTCTTATTTATTATACACCCAAATGTGTACCACCAAACTTTACTGTTGATTTCACACAATCATGTGACATTGTGATCTGACTTTCTAGATAACCACACTGTGGTTCACCCCTCTCTAAAACTGATGATGTAGTAAACAGCATAGTCATGACATTTTTTTCTTGTTGTATCAAAGAGCACCTTGAAAAAATGTTTTATTTTTAAATGGATTAAAATTGTATAAATGATCACAAAAGTTTTCTTTCATTTCTAATTTGCTAATTATAGAGGGGTAACCGTATGTATAATAAATTTATCATTATAACAGTAACCTGATCAGAAGAGCCGTATCATGTCTTGTTGACAGGCGCGCATCATCAGATCAAACTCAACACGTCACACCTCCTTTAATCTGAAGATCAGCTCCTTTCAACTCAATGCGATACAGCTCTTCAGATAAATTACTGTTTTAATGATATATATTTAAATAAATGAGCAGAAAAAAAACTATATCCATATATCCATGTAGCTCTCTGGTCCTCCATTACATTTTTTTCAGAACAGCGAGCTTCCGATCTGCAGCTACTTAACACCTTACACAACACATATTTATTCTGATTCTGTATGGCAAATTCACAATTAGACTTGTGGGATTTCTCCTCTTCTCTAAAGGAAGTTCAATGTGAAAATTGTAATTTTTTTTTTTTTAGCTAAAATGGACAGTATGCTGGAAATGTAAATATGACAAAAAAAAAAAAAAAAAAAAAAAAAAAAAAAAAAAAAAAAAAAACTCCAAAGCTTTCTAGACCTTGCCTCTAGCCTTTAATTTCCTTACAAAATCTTTCAATCTCAATTGTCTTATAACATTCTGACAATGAAAAATTTTTTCCTAAAAAAGATGTTTCTCAACAATAACATTGCCAGAAAGCGGGTACCTTTGAATTAAATTAAAAATCCCTGTCCTGTACATGTATGAATATGTTACCCAAGATCACCAAGATAAACAAAGATAGAAGTAAAACTTTAAAAGTGCATGCAAAACAAATGGGTCTCGTTACACCCTTTCTGCACTCTATTACTGCTACGGTACAAAAATATTATCAATCACAATTACCCGGTAGTACCTTTTACCACTTTGTGCATATAAAGTACATGTAAATATAAATCTGTGTTATTTTTATTCCAGTATTATTTGTGTGTACCCTTATTCACTTAAACATCAAGAAATAAGAGTACATTTAACAATGGTTCTTTTAAATTTCGCTCACATTATTCTAAATGATGTATCAACTGACAAGACTATTATGGATACTAGCTGACTTATTCCCCCTATCTGAGACTGATGATGGTACAGCCTCCATAATTACAGGACTCTCTGTAAATTGTTTTATCCACCATGCCAATAGATCTCTATGATGTAACTATCTCTGCTATCAATGTCAGATACATGTACTTAGTAACAATCTGGTGAAACTCTATATAATGGTAGAAAATCCACGATCCCTCCCTTTGTGGCTATTTTACCTTATTTGATCTCCCCTCTGTAACCATTTTACTTTATTTCTATCTGATTTTTCCTATTTGGTGCTTCCCACACAGTTGCCAGAAGGGGTGTGCTTGGCACGAAAATTAATTTTCAGAGTCTTGCTAGATCCACACAAGTTGTCTGGACTAATTTTTAGTTATAGACTCATACCAGTACTGTACAAGAGTTAAGAAAGATCTCGAAAAAATCAAAAGAAAATCATTTTGTTTATGAGATTTTTTACTTTGCAAATTATACATATAGCCATCATAACTGATTCTTTAATTAAGACATATTACTTTCACTTTTCAAGAGTTATGGAATTAGGGGAGGGGGGGGGGGGGGGGGGGGGGGACTTAGTACTTGCCTCAAAGGTTTTACATTTGTGACATCCTTAATCCAAATTTACTTAAGTTAAAAGAATGAAAATCTTCTTCTCAATGAATGAACTGTAAAGCAAGATGTCATTTCCTATACTGTACTTAAAAAAAAAATGAATATGGTAGTGAATTAAGTGATTTATCTACTAGACCTAAATAATGTACTTATTAATAAGTGGAGAGTAGTCTTACAATCATCTAAACCATAATTCCAACTTATCATTATACCAACATTGTGCTTCAAAAAATGCTGAACAAAGGTGCAAGATATCATTTTCACACATATACATTTAATTTAAATATCAAAGGACTGTTTACATCAACATATCAATTTTACATTTTAAGCAACACATTTTATCTCCATGCAATGACATATCATTTTGTCCTCATGTCAAAGTCCACGTCTAAAACTAGAACCAGGAAGTTTAACCATAGCAAGATAGGATTTTTAATTTTAAACACTGAAATACGAAATTAAATTTTAAAGCATCCTATTCAGTGTGTCTGTAAGTTCCTCAAGCAGGTAATTTTCCTCAATCTGATACTATATATATGCATACAGCAGACTATTATATCTATATTATGTGTAGGCAACAACTGTTTCATTTTCCACATGTTTCATTTATGTGTGACCATTTAGGTTATCTTCCTCCTATTCTGATATTAACACTTCCAGATATCTCTAAAGTACAAACATGACATCACTTCCTGTTGTCTGGGGGTAACTCTTCCTCCCACTGCCAGTTAATGAAGATACCGTCTCCAAAATCAATACTAACAGACAATCAGAGAGTCAATCCTAGACCATACCCTCCGAATCCAGCCAATTAAATCAATGGGAAATAACTAAATGACAAAAAAGGAAAACATCCCACAAGTATGCATGCATCCCTAAATTAGTAAATGACATCTATAGGTGTTAATAAGATTTACTGTTGAAAAACAGAAAAGAACAGGTGTCTCTTGACAAAATTAAATGGTTTTTGTATTTTAGTTTTTGTTTTTTGTTTTGTTTTGTTTTTTTGCAGTATGTGCTGATTGACTGGTTTGAGTGAATGCTGCACTTAGCCAGTAAAAATTTTGTTTTTCTTTCTTTTTTCCAGACAGAATCAGCTTGCAATATTCTAATAAAGAGATTAATGATGGCTCAAGTCTGGCATTTACAGTGATACCAAAAAGAGTGACTGTGATTAGAGTGTACACTGCTGATATATAATTATTTATCCTCATCAATATAGTATATGTTCTGATACAATTTAGATGTGGTCCAATGAATAAAAAATGCTTTTAAATTAAGTTCATAATCAGTGTTTGAAATAAGCGTGCACCTGACCGCCTGAGACGCACAAATTTTGCCACGGGCGATGAGATCTGCACATATGGACGCCCTGCTGGACGTGTTAAAATTTCCAATAAATTAAAATTCATATATTTGATAAATCTCTCTCAGATCAACCAATAGTATCAGAAGCAAAGTGTAAGAAACAGAGGGGGTAGAATTTGTCAGCTTATGGAATCGGGATATAAGTTATGGTGATCTGACCTCATTCATGTTATCGCTAAAAAAAAGTTATAAAAGACAATTATTTTCTTGGGCTACCGTATATACTCACCTATAAGTCGGTCCGCCTATAAGTCAGTTGTATTTTTTAAGCTTAAATTAGAGGGATTGACCAACTAAAAACCAATCTTTTTATAACTCACGTATAAGTCGGATAAAGAGTTTTGGACCAAAGTTTAACTCCCAAAAAACCGACTTATAGGCGAGTATATACGGTGGTAGATTTTTGGCAGGACTGACACCTTTCACTAGTAGTCAGCCCTGCATGTCTAGCTAATTTTACGGTGAGTTTCAAACACTGTGCATAATAAATATAAATTCTTTTTGAAGAGTCGAATCTTCCAATTTTTGACAATCACAGATAATGTTGCTTTAGCCTTGGAGAGTAACACGGATTTATATACTAGTACATGTAATAACTAAATATATATACTATCCAGCCAACTTTGCTCTTAATGACTAATAAGGAAAACATAAAGATCCTGGTTTTTACCTCATACTTTAGTGGGATACACCCCATGCCTGCAGGTTTACATAAACAAGTGCTCATTTGTTGCTTTTATTTTATGAAAACTAGCTGGCTAAGTACAGTCAAACCTCATTATCTTGAACTTGAAGGAACCAGGAAATAATGAGAAATATCCAAGGATTCCCAAATATATACAGCTTAAAAATAAAATTCTTAAAAGAAAGGGTGGTTGGAACTTCCGTCCCTTACTTGGTTATATCATGGTATTTGAGATACTAAAGTAAGAGATACCCCAAAAGTTCAACTGTATAAAGAATAGACATATGTTATTCCTTCTCTTTGCTCCGTCATTTTTATGCCCCCGTAATCAAAGATTTGGGGGTAAATATAGTTTTTGTCCTGTCCATCTGTCTGTCTGCAGAAACTTTAACCTTGCCCATAACCTTTGATTGATTGGTGCTATGGCTTTCATATTTCACGTATATTTCTTGTTACATGATCTTCCTTTGGTTACCAACAAATTTGACCTCTTGACCTTGGAGTTTGACCCACATTTACAAAAATTTACCTAACTTTAACCTTGGCCATAACTTTTGAACAGTGGTACTAGGGCTTTCATATTTCACATGTATTCATATGTATGATGATGGTTGTCAGACATTTATACACTTAGAACAAATTTCTGGTGGTTGTCAAGATAACAAATGTACATTTATACCTTTAGAACAAATGTATGCTGGTGGTTGTCAGGCATTTCCAAGGAAGTTGTTTCCCTTGTTTCAGTGATGAGGAAGCAGAAAAGACCAGCCTTCGGTTTTAGTGACTGTAAAAACAAGAAAAAAATATAAAAACAATATTCTGTTATAGAACAGTTACAGGAAAAAAAAGTATAAATTAATAATTATATCATACATAGGAACAGGGATCGACTTGTCGGAATATGATGCTGACACTATAGGGAGAATCATGTATTAAAGGGGTGCCCCCCCCCCCCTCTTAAAAAATAATGATAAAAAAAATCACCTGCAAATTTTCTGCTTAAAAATTGGGATTAACCTACATAAATATACAAAAAAAAAATCTTTTGAACTGATTTGAATCCCTATGAAGCATATAATGGAACAAGTTATATGAACATGCATTTTACTTTGGCTTCTCAAAATTTTTCCTTTTATCATATCAATATTTTGTTTTTCTAACAATACCTTTGATTTTAAATAAAGAAAGAAATACATGTACCTGTGTACCAATAGTCAAAAGAGTGTTTTTTTTTATTTAAAAAAGAGATGGGGAAGAAATAGTGAGCATGACAGAGGTGTATGGAAGCTTGAACGTTTTACAAATTTAAAGGTCTTTTTTAGGATTATTTTGCCATGTCAAACATTTTCAAATAGCTTATCTACACTAAGAATTATGACTCATGAACAAAATATGTTACATAGACTTATGGATACACTTGATAACAGACTAAAAATACAATATTTTTGACAGATGAGATCTTGGAGGTTATGCTTTCTTGACACAAATGACTCTGCACAATAAATAAAAAAAATATTAACAATAGGACTTGTAGCTCTATGCCATGTGGTTTACATCTAAACTATTCTGAATTTTTTTTCTGGCCATGATTGAAATTCAAATTCTTCAAATCATCTGAAAAATATTGCTCTTATAATTTGATTTTCACAGCCTAGAGAAAAATAATGCATTTAAATGTGACTTATTGATAAGTATGGACTATTTCAAATGTTGATTTATAAAAATCTGCAATTCAAAAACCAATGCTGCAGCAAAACGATACTTAAGTCTGTGAGTCTGTATATATACACATAGATTACATTCATTGGTATTTCCTCATAATCCGTCAAAATGCTCATCCAATTTTCCACATTATTTTGTGAAAACAGATCAGAATGTACAATTTGTCTCTGCTAGAAAATTGATTTGTACAAAATATTCAACCCATAAAATGTCAAAAAGAACTAACAAACAATTATGCACTGGAATGAAGCACAAGGAATCCCTTGCAATGTTTTATCTTTAAGAGAACATATATTAATGACACTGACATTCCTAATCATTATGTCATCATCTGATCCATTTTTTTTTTATTCTAAGAAATATGACCACATATATGCTTATGCATGCATGAAGAAGTATGCAAGCCATTCAGGTTGTCCTGTATGAATGATTGTATTTCAGGCATATTGTGCTGGTCACAGAGTCGTTATAAACCATACGTCCAGTGAAGGGTCAGCCTTCAGTCAGCTCTATACAAATGCATGCCATAAACACTTGTTTACAAGGTTCTATATAAACTGTTTACCCTAGTACAAGGTCACTACGTCAGAGCATGTGTACTGACTTGTTTGTGTATTAGGGGATCTGTAATTAATGGAGCAGGTTTGTGTGTGTCATCTACAAAACTCAGGGTCAGATCTTTCTTCACTAGTTTCCTCCACACCTAGTGATGAGCAATGCAGACAGGTGACAGGATCTCACCAAAAATGTCTGCTCAGTTTATAGATTTATTATGTTCCTACACTGCAATCACCCTGCTTTCCATTAATAGATTTGCTCCACAGTTTGTTGAGGACTGGGTGTATGTTCTGGAGACAGTTTCACTGTGTTGCTGATAATCATATTGAAGAGTGGCTGATGTTGGAGCTGACAAAGAGTCATTCTGGCCCACACAGTAATACACTGTCCACAGTCTCAACAAGAAGCCTATATTAATGGCCCGTCAGGGAATTGCAATTAATACCAAGCATACTGCTCACAGATGTTAACAGCTGCTATACAATATACCAATGGTACCCAAAGTGCAGAGATGCAAATTTTCCATTCAATCACAGGGAAGAAAAAAAAAACCCAAAACCAAAACAAAAACCAAACTTGTGACCATCTATGTACGGATATATATAAATCCATTTTTTCCCATTCACTTTCCATTCATTCTAAGAAAAAAAAATGATTTTGCAGAAAAAACAAAATCTTAATGTAAAAAGCCTATGTGCCTATTAGTCAGGTTACCACTCATGATGTAAGACAGAATTTGAATTGATCTTTTCCGCAAGCTCATTGAATTATCACACAAATTCTGGCCTATTCATACATAAAAGCCACAACAACATGCAGAAGGTGTTCCGTACTACACTCTTAGCCTACATTAGATAACCTGGTTTCATCATTCTGTTAAGTGCATCACTTGCTCGCAATTCAAGCTTGATACTAAGGAATGCATTAAACTAATCATTACAGATACATGCTTTAAAAAAAAGTTAATCACTGTAACTTCAAAACCTTTGAAGTTAATAAAAGACTTTAACAGTCAATTAACTGTATATCATCTAAATTCAATGAAGTATTCATGTCATGAGTCCAGGGGAACAGATATTATAAGTACTTGCGACACAGAAAGGAGAATTCATGTATCATCTGACTCTGTCTAGTCTAACTCCATCTGTTCATCAATGCTAACTTTTCACCAGTGTGACTGTATGGATATTAGGAGTTCCCCACAACAGAAGAAGAGGGTCTACTACTTATAAATCAGTTAGTAACAGATTAACCAAGATTACCAGTAGACATTAATTTGTATCTCTACCCCCTACCATTCCCCACCTGTCTGTCAATACACTATTGTATGACACTGGCAATGTTCTGGTATTAGACATGATGAAAGGCAATATCCCACAAAATCCTGTTCTGAGAAATGTATACCGGTGAATCCCAGCTCCCTCAAGAAAGTGTCAGAAAAGCTTGTTCAACACTCCATGAGCAAAGGAAGAACTTTCTTAGTGCAGACTACTCACAGCACCTGTGATCTGCCTATCAATAAGCAATGCAAGGATCAATACCCTGTACAGAATATTCTATTTAGTAGGCTTGAATTATCATCACAACTTAGGGATATTTTTTCATACCCCCCCCCCCACCTTCTTTCACAAAAACCAGACAAATGTTAACTAGTATGTAAGGTTTTACTCTAGAAATAGGTATCCAAGGAGAATTGATTCGCTCCCTTACTGCCAAAAGTCAAAAGGTAGTTGTACTGAAAGACAGCATAAAAAAAACATAGTGCTGTGAATTTCCAATACCTGCATCAGAATCTCAATGTACTGGGGATAAAGTGCAGTAGCAATTATGTAAAATATTGAACTACTTTTACTTGAACTCAGGGACACCCTTGATGCTACATCATAATTAGCTGACTAACTCCATGTTGGCTGTTTAAAATGTTTCCTTATTATGTATGCAAGGAAGCAAATGTACCAGCAATAAAAACAAATTGTGAAAAAAAGGTATACTGTGAAAAATGTAATGACAATTCTTATCTATAACAGCTAGAAAATAAATAGATGCAACCAGTACAAATTAAAGCTGACAAATTCACGCAAGGCTTTATCACTTCCTGGTGAAAACTTAAGTGTTATCAGATAAAAGGTGTCCTAAACAGATCTGAATCTACTCCTATGAAAAAATCCTATATATTTAATGATTTAAGGCTGTTGTTCTTGAATCCTCTCAATATAGATGTGATGCAGGAGGAGTACAACCTACTATGATGATCAATTCTCTTGAACATTGCCCTGTACCAATGTCCATGAACTATGGCCACATAGCTCAGAAACAAAAATCAAAGAAACATTAGTATAATTTGCATTTTACTATAGGAACACGAAGAATGATAAATGTAATGTTACTTTCATCACAAGGAACTTAAAAAAAAGTACCTTTTAAAAAAGGGAAATATGTTGCAAGGCTGCATGCATCAAAACTTCAAAATTGCTAAGTTATAGGTTCAAGTTGCAAATTTTTTTATTATCTTACAGAATACACAATTACCATATAAAAATTATCTCCATTTCCAACCAATACAAACCTTTGGAGGTGAGTAGAACTCCAAAAGGGAACCCCCACTAACTTCTTTGAGCACAAGTCTCGTTTTTTCCCATCGTGACTTCCCCTTGGAATCTTCACCTGTCAGAACGTTTACTACACTCTCTCGCTTCACATCACCCTGACATTCGGACTTGACATTTGATTTACTCCGTTGACTGTTTTTAAACTTTCTGTGATTTGCTGTTAAATCAACATTATCACCACTATGTTTACCTGATCGTTTATGTTTACGAAATGAAAATCTACGGAGAAAGCCTTTCTCTTTAGGGGAGTGTTTAGACTTTATATCAGGGGAAGTAACTGATGTGTTGACTGCTGTCACATTGTCTGAATAATCATCCACTATGGGGTTATGGGAACTACTACCATTCGTGGGAGATCGTGAAGTCTGTGAGGCAAAACTCGATTCTCGTGACAGATTATGATGCTCATTAGAAAGTCCTGAAAAGAGGGGGTCACTCCCCTGGAACGTGGACTTGATTTGTGTCTGCGACTCTAGGTAGTAAGAAGTCCGTTTGATCTGCCGCTCGAAATGTTGAAGAAAGTACTCCACAAACTTTCTTGCGTACATTACAGGGTCGCGGGGTACAGAATCTGCGGAAGTGTACTGGCTCCTTTGAAAATCGAGGAAGCTGCGGACGAACTGTTCCGAGGCGGTGGTGGCTTGATTCTCACAAAATTCGCACCACCCCACGGCACGGGAGGAAGAGAAATACCCTCCTAATTCTCCGTTATGGGCGGCCATTAAGATTCGGGTCTCATTTTCGCTGATGACTGAATACATTCATCCACGGATGACTTCATTGTTCATTGTACCTTGTCGGTCTGTAAACACGTAAACCTGCACTGTCTAAAGCGGAAGACAAACATCACAAATATGTTGCGCGAACTTTGCTGCGCAGTCAACTAATTACTTCCGGGCAAATTTTATGAATGAGTAAAAATTTATTTTCCCACACTTAGAATTTTTCTTTAGAAAGTTGAATCGTACAACACACAACAATGATCAGTCCAAAAAAGCTCGTTAAAGAAAGCAAATAAAGGATATATATCTACATGTACAGTTCGCTAGCCTACTTTGAATGTAGGGACGGATCCTGATTTTAGGGGGTGGGGATCTCAGTTAAATTACTGTGATCACTCCCCTAAAATCCACTGACGCAAACGTTCACACAAATTGGACTGGTCCATTTTATTACTATAGCATGAATATATATAAATATATATTTTTTGGTCTCATTTTCTATTTATCTACAAGTCAATCTAATTATTAAAAACTATGAAAGTATTTTTTATTTTTATTTACATAAAATAAATTCTTTTATTCAATTTTCCTATCGCATTACTTGTATTGATTTTTTTTATCATCAGTAAATAACAATTTTTAACCAGACATGTCAAGTTTCTTAATTGTTTACATTTGCTCAAGTCCTAGCCAAACACAGTGAGAGAATCGGAGTTAATTAACATAAGCATTCATAAACAGTATTAATTTTGCATTTGAAATATATTTTTGGTGCAGTGTAGAAAAAATAAATGTCATAGCATCATGCGAAAGGGAAATGGGGCAAAAGTGGGGGGTAGGGCAACCAGACTTGCAATGAACATTTTCAAGCAAAAAAATAAATATTTACGTACATGAAAATGGAAAGGGGAGGACATCCCACCCCTCTCCTGATTCTATGCGCATGAATATTATGTTCGCTTTGTCCACCCAAGTATATTTTTTAAACTATACTGTATAAAAAAGAGGTGGTAGTTACAAGACTTTCAATGAACATTTTCAAACTAGAAATTTCTAAAATTTACATTCAGAAAAAAGGTGAGGGGATCCATCCCCCTTCTCCGATTCTTAGTGCCTGAATATTATGTTGACTTGAGTGGAATTCGGATGCAGGCGAAATAAGTTCAGAATTGTTTTCAATCTAATTTCAGTTCAATGTAGGAAAAATAAATCATTATGTTCACCTGGAAGATCAATGAAATGGTCTGTCTTTTATGATAAATTGATAACATCAATCTACTTCAATATACACTGTTCATGAAATGTTTCCATATTGATTTGACAAATGTATCACTGTTTGAAAGTAGAATTTAAAAAAAAAAATCCTCTTACATGTATGTATATCCTATTCTCAGACGACCATGTTAACAGACTTGAATGTACATTATACTGGGATTTTTCTTTATTACTTCTACATATTTGAAAAGAAATTCCCATAGACCATTGTTTATAAATAAAATTGCATGCACATTGACTGTATATATTTAAGACATGCAGAAATTTTATGTCCTTCGTATGTTTGCTTTTTTAGTCCCCTACCGGTGAAACCGGAGGGGACTATAGGTTTCCTCTGAGTCTGTCCGTCCGTCTGTCCGTCCGTCTGTCTGTCTGTCTGTCCGTCTGTCTGTCTGTCTGTCCCTCTGTCTGTCTGTCAGTCTGTCCCACTTGGTTTTCCGCACTTTTTTCCTAAACGCTTGCAGATATTGAGCTGATTTTTGGTATGTGAGTGTATCTTGATGAGTTACAGATCAAGTTTGCATTTCGTTCCGCTTCATTGATTTTTGACGGAATTACGGCCTTTTCAATTTTTACGGGTTTTCCGCAATTTTCTTCTAAACGCTTGTAGATATTGAGCTGATTTTTGGTATGTGGCTTTACCTTGATTAGTTATAGATCAAGTTTGCATTTCGTCCCGCTTCATTAATTTTTGACGGAATTATGGCATTTTCAATTCTTAACGGGAACAGAACCAGATTACACTTGCCGGTAGGGGACTAGTATTGCTCATGCAATACTCTCAGAATGCTTGTTCATATTTGGACGTTCTACTGACTAAAGACGTTAAAGACCAACTAACAACTAATAGTATATTGTCTGACAAACGTGATGACTTCAGCTTTTTCCATCGTCAACTTTCCTTATTTATGGAGTTATATTCCGCTATCATTTGCATATGATGTTTACATCTACCAACTTATTCGATATATACCCAAGCTTTAAGAGTACGATTTTTAATCGAGGCAGGCTACTGACGGATACATGTAAGTTGATGTTACAGGGGTTTCAACAACCTCGTTTAAAGTCAGCATTTCGTAAATTCAATGGTCGTATCAATGACTCTGTCAACAAATATAACCTATAATTGGGTGAGTTGTTTGGTCTTTGATTTTATACTAAATTGGACAACGGAATATCCTGTTTACCTGATTTGTTCATAGGGCTCACGGCGGGTGTGACGGGTCAACAGGGGATGCTTACTCTTTCTAGGCATCTGATCCCACCTCTGCAATTTTCGGGGGTCTTTTTTATGCTCTATTAACAGAACTGTATTGTTTGCGGATATTTTAAAATCATCACTGTTCGTTATCTTCACCTTTTTCCATTAGGAAATATATCCACAGTAGATATTATGTCATTTGCGATACTTTCTACCTCATTTGCACGACGTTTTATGTCATTCAAAATATATTTATTTATCTGTATTACGTTGCATAACTTTCCGTATTTATTTCTAAAAAATTATCTAATTTATTTTTTCCTTCACTTTTTAAAAAAAAGTTGATCGTACTCAAAGCATGCTGAATACTTTGGGAGACATGTTTACCATTGAAAAGCCAGAACATCCCGATTGTCTGTTATTTAGCTATGAATGTCTTATAATCAGTCAAATATCTAAATATGAAACAAATGGAAGACAGTCATAAAGGGAGATAGTGTAAAGAGTTATTATCAATAGTAGCCATTTTGCGATTTTCAATATGCATGTGCTGAGAACACAATAGGCTTAATAGATAGAAATATGCATGTAAATGTAATGCTGTTTTATTGCATTTTAATTGCAGATTTGTTTTCAATTCTGTTGGAAAAGGGGTCATTTTTCAACGGGGTCAATTTTTCATAGGACACCATATGAAAAAAATTACCCCTAGGGCTCTTTTTCAACAATTTTTTTTTTTACGGCTGGGGGGTCATTTTTTGTCGTTGAAAAATGACCCCCCCCCCGTCATTATTCTATTACTTACTTACTTAGTCCTCTTCGTGCTTTGAGCACATAAGGCCTGCACCGAGGACCTCCATCTCTGTCTGTCCGCTGACATCTGCTGTACCTTGCCCCAAGTCCATCCCTGTTCTTTCATTTCTTTTTCTACTGACCGCCGCCATGTCTCCCTTGGTCGCCCTCTGTTTCGTTTCCCTGGTGGAGTCCATCTTAAGGCTACCCTCGGTATATCTGATGTTTCCATTCTCAAGACATGGCCAATCCATTTCCATCGTTTCTCTTTGATCTGGTCAGATATGGCAGCTGTTTGTGTTCTTTCATACAGCTCCTCATTACTGATCTTGTTTGGCCAGAATATCTTTAGTATTCTACGGAGACATCTTGTTTGGAAGGTGTCTAGTTTTTGAGTGATGTTGTTTGTCACCTTCCAGGACTCAGATCCATATAGGAAGACTCCAATGACATTTGTTTTAAATATCTTTATTTTTGTTTTGGTTCTGATAGTTGAAGATTTCCAGATGTTCCGCAAATTGGCAAAGGTGGTACGGGCTTTTGCAATTCTATTTTCAACATCCAAGGTGGAATCTCCATTGGCCGTGATCTTGCTGCCAAGGTATATAAAATTGTCTACTTCTTCTATTCTGTTGTTGTTTGCTGTAACTTCCCTTTCTATCTTTGTATTTATTTTCATTAACTTTGTTTTGTTTACATTTATTTTAAGTCCGATTTGTCCGCTATACTTGACCAGGTCATCAGTTTTGCTTTGGATATCCTTATATCGCTGTGCTAGTAAAGCGATGTCATCTGCAAAGTCAAGATCTTCTAGTGACTGTTGAAATGTCCAGGATATTCCTCTATTGGCCTGACTGGTAGTGATTTTCATAAGCCAGTCTATGCAGAAAGTAAAGAGCAATGGTGAAAGCAGACATCCCTGTCGTACCAGGCCCGTAGGAAGCAATTTCAGTTTGGGGGGGCACAGCCAAACATTTTTCAGTTGACAGTTGAGGGGGCACTACCAAAAATTTTCTGACAAGCAAAAAAAAAAAAAAAGGTCGTCAACTACCAAATATTCCTTGACAAGCAAAAAAAAAAAAAAGAAGTCATCAGGCGGCTTTATTGAGGGGGCACATGCTTATAGTATCTATGTTTACTATAGTAATCTATATATCGGCAAAATTATTGGGGGGGGGGGGCACGGCCCCCCCGTGCCCCCCCCCCCCCCGGTTCCTACGGCCATGCGTACCCCCGTTTGGATTGGGAAGCTGTTTGTTAGTTCTGTGCCACAGATCACCTTTGCCTGGAAGTCCTTGTATAGCATCTGAATGATGGAGATGATCTTGTTAGGGATGCCATAATGTCTAAGGATCTTCCATAAAGCAGGACGATGTATACTGTCAAATGCTTTGGCAAAGTCGATGAAATTGGCATACAGCGTTGCGTTCCATTCATTGCTCTGTTCCAAAATTTGCCTCAAGGAAAATATCTGGTCATTATTCTATGGGGGTCATTATTCGTCTTTACACCGGATCGTAGAATTTTGAATATAAAACCGGGTCAAAATTCAACAGCAGAAAGCAAATATAAAATAAATTGATGTTAGCAATTATATGGTAACATATTTCTGCCCCTATACATGCAAGATAAATTATGTCAACATGCAACATATTATGTAGACATGCAATTTATTTATGTCAACATGCAAGATAATTTTGTTAACATTTAACATGCGATTTAATATGTCAACATGTGAGATATGTATGCATGTTGATATGCAACTTATTATCTTGCATGTTGACATAAATATCTTGCATGTTAAAATATAACGGCGTGTTGTGCGAACTTGTGTTAGGGTGACACGCCGTCGCGATAATTGTTACCATACCAACAATATGACTGCTTGATGTCCAGAGCTAGTAAAGAAGAAGAATTTTAAAGATTGCACTAAATGTTATGGTTTTGGCCCCACCCCTTAGGCCCCAGGAGGCAGGGAACATGAAATTCACATTTGTTCCCCTTCCCCATTGATGCTTTATACTAAAATTGGTTGAAATTTGTTCAGTGGTTCCGGAAAAGCTGAAAATATTCAAATGTTGATTTACACAATAGATATTAATTGGTTAGAGGTAATTACACTCACAGTTTTTATTCACTCGGGGCTCCGCCCCTCGTGAATGAAAAAAACTGTGAGTGTATTTACCGCTAACCAATTAATATCTATAGTGTAACTATAACTTAACAGATGATGCATGGTGCACCACAATGGTCAAAAAAAAGATACCTGACTCAGGTGACCTAACAACTCATGCAATAAACTAGATGTGTCGTTATGGCCATGAATGTCCCCACAAGCAGGCAAAATTTCAAACGCAATATTTAGTTTTAAATTTGCATTCGACCTTGACCCGTATTTTCTGGTAAAATACTGTATATGCAATTTCAACCCTTTACATACATCCCTACAAAAGTTAGAGAGCAGAAACTGAAAATTTCTTATTTTTTCTAATTCAAGAGGTATAACTGTCAAAAATCATTGGACCATGACCAAATTCAAATTTGACCTCTATTTTCTGGTAAAATAAATGCACATGCAATTTCAACCTTATACATACATAGTGAGCGGAAACTAAAAATTTCTTTTTTTTTTTCTAGGGACCTATATATTAACCTATATACTAAGGTCCCTGTTTTTTCTAAGTTCAAGAGGGACAACTCTTGTAAAAAATCATCGAACCATGACCAAATTTGAACTTGACCAGTGTTTTCTGGTAAAATTCCTGAATTCCTATATGCCCCGGCCATTTTAGGGCATAAAAATAAATAATCCAGAAGACTCTTAGCTGAGGATACATGTAGTGCTACTGGTTTGTACTTATAATAGGAGAGAAAAGTTTTCCCTGAACTTGCATCATTGGATACCCATTGGTGACATCATATTTTACTCATCTTAATGACCTTTTAGATTGTCTACTCAAGAAATCTTTAACAAAATTTTTTCTTTTTCTAGCCCATTGGTTTTTGAGGATTTTTTTTTTAAAAAAAAACCTCACCATATTTTCTCTGTTTTTTTTTTTTTTTTAAAATTCTCTCCCCTTGAATGAGGACATGGCTCTTCCATTGAAGAAATTTAAATCCCCTTCACCCAAGAATGCTTTGTTGAAGTTTACTAGTTAAATTGGTTCAATGGATATAGAGACTAAGCTGAATTTAAGATGAGAAGTTTACTTGCAACATCATATGACAGACAGATGCCAGACACCCTTCCATAGAAACATTTGGCTCAGGTGAGCTAAAAAAACAACAACATGGTTTTCATTTCCACTTTATATTTTACCTTTATAATAATTATAAAACAAGATGATCAGGTGTTATATAACAGTCACAAACAATAAAGAGAAGGTTTGAAGCTATTTCCTCCACTTCAAGTACATTTTTAAATCGTCTACATGAATTTCATTGTGTAATCCCAGACGCTGTATGGATGCCCTTCAAATGTGACTAGAATGTTTTGTTCTCGGCCATAAAACATTAAATCTAACATGTAGGCTTCCTGAACAAAACCATTTAATAAAAAATACTGCACCAGTCATTAAATGTTCCACATCCATTAACAAACTGTTTATTTTAAGCATTATGTTGATCAATGTGTATACTAATCACTTTCTACATGATGTCATTTTCTGTAGTATCATTGAGTATAAAGATATACCATATGCATTAAAATAAAGCAAGCATGTGCATAAAGTAGATAAAGTAAAGGTTTGGACCTTGGAAATGAAGCAAAACAAGAGGCCCATGGGCCACAACGCTCACCTGAGTAACTTTGGCCCTGCTGTTCTTCACCAGACTTTCCCCCATGTAATACACCTATTGTGGTCCCATCCTATCCCAGGGGTCATGATTTTAACAATTTAGAATCTACACTACCCCAGGATACTTCTACATTCAGCTTTTCTGGCCCTGTGGTTCTTGAGAAGAAGATTTTTAAAGATTGTTTCTATATATTTCAATGTAAAACTTGGATTCCCTATTGTGGCCCCGCCCTACCCCCGGGGGGTCATGATTTTAACAATTTAGAATCTACACTACCCCAGGATGCTTCCACATTAGTTTCAGCTTTTCTGGCCCAGTAGTTCTTGAGAAGAAGATTTTTAAAGATTTTTTCTATATATTTCAATGTAAAACTTGGATTCCCCATTGTGGCCCCGCCCTACCCCCTGGGGTCATGATTTTAACAATTTAGAATCTACACTACCCCAAGATGCTTCCACATTAGTTTCAGCTTTTCTGGCCCAATGGTTCTTGAGAAGATTTTTAAAGATTTTTTCTATATATTTCAATGTAAAACTTGGATTCCCTATTGTGGCCCCGCCCTACCCCCGGGGGTCATGATTTTAAAAATTTAGAATCTACACTACCCCAGGATGCTTCCACATTAATTTCAGCTTTTCTGGCCTTGTGGTTCTTGAGAAGAAGATTTTTAAAGATTTTTCCTATATATTTCTATGTAAAACATTGATTCCACATTGTGGCCCCGCCCTACCCCCGGGGGTCATGATTTGAACAATTTAGCATCTACACTACCCCAGGATGCTTCCATATAAGTTTCAGCTTTACTGGCCCTGTGGTTCTTGAGAAGAAGATTTTTTAATGACCCCACCCTATTTTTGTCTTCTCTTGATTATCTCCCCTTGTGAGGGGACTTGGCCCTTCATTTTAACAATTTAAATTCCCCTTCACCCAAGGATGCTTTGTACCAAGTTTGGTCAAAATTGGCCCAGTGGTTCTTGAGAAGAAGTCAAAAATGTGAAAAGTTTACAGACAGACAGACGGACAGACAGACGGACGGACGGACGACGGACAAAATGTGATCAGAAAAGCTCACTTGAGCCTTTGGCTCAGGTGAGCTAAAAATAGTTCTTTTCAATATTGTTTCAAAGCACACAATTTAGTTACCTACAGAATTCCAATTTTTTATATGTTTTATATTCTTTGAATTACTGTGTTACTATAACTACCAGAAATAATTTCAAACATGTAATACTAGTATTATCTTTAAAATCAGAGTGAAGGTTAAAAATTTAAAATTTTATGAAAATCAAGTGATCTGATTGACACCTGATCATGAAATAGGTCTACAGGCACCTGACACTGAAATTCATAACATACTGAATTCACATGCATTTAGTGCAGTTGTATATACATCTGCCACTATCATGAATTAATATAGGAAGTGTTTATTTATATCATATTTACTTAAAATTATATTTTGGCAGTGGTCCTAGGTTAGTGCACTGAAGTCTGTACAGGAGACAGCATGAATCCTGCTAACATCAACTCTAATCTGTTATCCCAATACTGTATGCTACATTGTAAGCTCTACAGTCACTGTGCCATTACAGTAAAACCAAGATATACAGAATGTGTTTTTTGAGAAATCTCCTGTCATTTTCATATCCCAATAACTAAAGGCATGATTATTCATGTACAAAGTTTATAGTCATTCCATGACCAACAAAAAAATCATTTACAACTCCACATAAAAAAGAAATTAATGGAATAAAAAGTTTACAATTAATTTAAACAATTTAAATGATTTTTAGGGATTTGATATACTGTAAACATACTTTTTTCCACGAGTCAAACTTCCACAGAATTGCAATTTCTGTTCCATCCACAGGTAGAAAATTATGCGGATTTCTTAGATTGCCTCTATATGTCTTAAATGCACTTTAAGTATGCTGGAATAAATTTCTGCAGAAAACGTGTGATCGTGTACATAGCATAAATTAATACCATGTGGAAAAAAGTTCTACAGTAATTACATTAATAATTGAAATTTACAAGATATTAATAGTAATAGTAAATAGATAGTGAGAATTGCCCTATAACTACTGCACCAACATCAGATCTGAATAATGTCATTAATTCACATGCACTGATATCACAGCAAAACTAAAACAAAAATAACACAACAAAATAGCTGCATCATCAGTTATTTGTGTCTGTGTTTACATCAAATAAGAGCAAATCACTTTCAGTACACATGTACCTAAATCTACAGCTTGACGTCTCATTTGTTTTATCAGAAAAATCTTGAACATATTTCCTGGTAAAATTAACCTTTACACATGTATTATTAGAATACATATCTATATATCTGTACTAAGTCTTACATATACAGCTGTTTCTTCTGACAGATAGAAACGGAATTGAAGATTTTGTAACTAAACAGAGAGTACATTTAAGTTTTACACACTTAAATACATATATAACATAATCATGTCTTCCTCTTGCACACAGTTGTAACATGATTTAAATTTCATGCTTATCTGTCACTCCACAATCCATCCTCCAGCTACAAGTCCTACTTCATACATTCATGTCAACTATTTCACACACACCATAATAAATAAACATAGATCCTGTATTTTCTAGTCTGCACTTGTCATCAATATTTAGGATTTCAGCTCTGATTGTATTAAACAGACAGACAGATTTAACAAAATTAAGAAGCAGCACTTTAATCATATACAGATATGATAGAGCTCTATGCCACACCCATGGAACTTGTCTTCTATTTTCTCCCCTTTAACTTTAATCCTTTGTGCCAATGACTAATGTTTTAATATATATACATAACCATTTAACAGACATACATGCCAAAGTTTATAAATCATGCTTCATACATAGTACTTTCACTTCGATACAATAGATCCCATACATTTACCTCTACTAAACATGTCTCATTCTTTCACTTCTACACAATTAACCCCATCCTTTCACTTCTACACAACAGAAATAAAACTTTCACTTCTATACAATAGGTCCCACACTTCTACAAATACACTCAATATTTGATTTCTACACAATGCACCCCATACTTTCACTGCTATATATTGCATCTAAAAATGCAAAGAAGCATTCACTTATAAATGATCATGTACCTTGCTTGCAGTTGTAAATAAGATAAATAATGCAATATAACAACAAGGGTATATAAATCAACCCTACACAACATCAGGGGCAGACTACTCTGTCTAGTCTGGTGTGCTGGGTGGTTCAGTGCTGAAATATGGCATGGCGTCTTTAACAAGGATTGTGTGGCAAATGTCACACACTCTGAACGGTCGGTTACTAGGGCCACTGTTCACAGTCTTAGATATACAGTCTGAACAAAAGATTTTACCACAATGCCTACAGTGATGCTGTAAAGACAAAAGTAAAATATAAGTCTTAATTATAAATTATAATTATAAGTCATCAAGAGAAGAAATGCATAATCTGTCATTTACAGGCATGTAAAGTACTTAGTATATATAACTTGACAAAGATTTAGCGTACTGGACATGTGTAAAGGTTTCTGTACACCAGTTCTGGTCTCTTACTCTAAAGTCAGGATAGGTTTAAAAATGTCTGTGTCACTGAGTCATCAACCTTTCTCTTAGTAACACTAAATACCTGTTTAGTCTGTGTTTACCCTTCTCTTTATAATACTAAATGTCTTTTTACAGTCTGTGTGTAACAATAAATGTTTGTTTACATTTTTTATATACAGTAAAACACACTTAGAGCAAACACAATTATAATGAATTGAAGCTTCGTTATAAGCTTGTTTAACTGTACATGTACCTTTCTTCTGTTAATACTAAATGTCTGTTTACAGTCTGGCGTGTAATACTAAATGTCTGTTTACAGTCTGTGTGTAATATTAAATGTCTGTTTAAAGTCTGTGTGTAACACTAAATGTTTATTGCAGCCCGGAGGACCGGGCTGCTCTATACATATAAGTTTAAGTGTTGGTATATGGGGATTGAGGTGGGAGAAGTTATTCAGAATTAAAGGTTTTCTAAACATTAAAAAGATTGTTAATCAGAATGTTCTTTCCCTTTATAAATTACGAGATACACCATATATTTACTTCCATAAAGTGAATCTGTAAAAATATATATGTTTTTCATATTTAATATATAAAGTTGCTTATCATTTACTATCGAAAAAACGACAGGTCCCTTTTTTTAGAACATCGAATTTTACTTATCGCATAAAAACGTAAAAACGTACTTTACACAGTTCGTGTTTTATATTCTTAAGGTGAAAGACATTTTTGAAAATAGGTGATGCATGTGTCTGGTTTCAAATTATATTTTATGCAGCCAACATTTACTTGAGGAATTGATAAAGTTTAAAAGGCTATCGTTTTTGTTCGATTTTCATCCGACTATAAGTTTTCAAAATATTCTATCGTCTCCATCATTTAGACGCATGCCTTTTTCACACATATCGAAGCGGTGATGATCAAGACTCATTTCCATTGTTTACTTTATTTATTTCCCGGGCGACAATTGATGATTGCATCAATGTTTTCTTGTTTACAGTTTTATATACCTTTCTCCTTGTAACACTAAATGTTTGTTTACAGTTTTTATATACCTTTCTCCTTGTAACACTAAATGTTTGTTTACAGTTTTTATATACCTTTCTCCTTGTAACACTAAATGTCTGTTTACAGTCTGTGGGATATTAAATGTTTGTTTACAGTTTTTATATACCTTTCTCCTTGTAACACTAAATGTCTGTTTACAGTCTATGTGTAACACTAAATGCCTGTTTACAGTTTTTATATACCTTTCTTCTTGTAACACTAAATGTCTGTTTACAGTCTGTGTGTAACACTAAATGTTTATTTACAGTTTTATATACCTTTCTCCTTGTAACACTAAATGTTTGTTTACAGTTTTATATACCTTTCTCCTTGTAACACTAAATGTTTGTTTACAGTTTTTATATACCTTTCTCCTTGTAACACTAAATGTTTGTTTACAGTTTTTATATACCTTTCTCCTTGTAACACTAAATGTCTGTTTACAGTCTGTGTGTAACACTAAATGCCTGTTTACAGTTTTTATATACCTTTCTCCTTGTAACACTAAATGTCTGTTTACAGTCTGTGTGTAATACTATATGTTTGTTTACAGTTTTTATATACCTTTCTCCTTGTAACACTAAATGTCTGTTTACAGTCTGTGTGTAACACTAAATGTCTGTTTACAGTCTGTGTGTAACACTAAATGTCTGTTTACAGTCTGTGTGTAACACTAAATGCCTGTTTACAGTTTTTATATACCTTTCTCCTTGTAACACTAAATGTCTGTTTACAGTCTGTGTGTAAAACTAAATGTTGGTTTACAGTTTTTATATACCTTTCTCCTTGTAACACTAAATGTCTGTTTACAGTCTGTGTGTAACACTAAATGCCTGTTTACAGTTTTTATATACCTTTCTCCTTGTAACACTAAATATCTGTTTACAGTCTGTGTGTAATACTTTATGTTGGTTTACAGTTTTTATATACCTTTCTCCTTGTAACACTAAATGTCTGTTTACAGTCTGTGTGTAATACTATATGTTTGTTTACAGTTTATATATACCTTTCTCCTTGTAACACTGAATGCCTGTTTACAGTTTGTACATTCCTCTATATCATCCTCGTGTTGCCACCGTACTTCATTCTCTGCCTGACGAATTTTCTCCAGCTGTATCTGTCAATTGATTACAAAAATATGTCACAAGTATTCCATTTCAAGCATATGCATTACCGGTATGTTTTGGTATAAGATTTTTAGGCAAATTTCCACTGTGCTACTGAATGCAAGACTTAGTTACAACAGCATGTGTATCTCTCTCTTGGTGTCATTATACAGTTTTTGTATCTGTGCTCAGTTCATTCATCCTGTTTATCAGCTTCAATATTTTTTCCATGTTGGTTTTTTTTGCAACTATAAATTGATATGTTTATATATGCAATGTGCTTTTTTTTTTAAATTATAACTTGTATTTTTAAAGGACTTGTTACATGTTTTTAAAAAATCTGTAATTTTATGAAAAATATTATCTACAACCTTGTTTATTAAAATATTGAATAAAATAAAGGTTGTTGTAAGCATATTTTAAGAGAAATTTAGAGTTGAAATTCAAATACGGCAATATGCATATTTCAATCAGATTTCGGCACCATACTGCTGTGATATCATATGCGACAATTCAGTGATAGCAAGATGAGAAACTGTATACTTTTAATGAAGTTATCAACGACAAATGCAGGGTAATAAGGAAAATTCTGAATCTTACGTGTTTTTCAATAGCTATAAAAGTATGAAGTTGTTCTAATTTAAGTATAAACATTTATTTAAAGATGAATTTAAAAATATATGCATGTAAATATTATAAACGGACTACAGTGTAGGTATACTTGGTGAAATGATGTTAGTAAGAAAATAAAAATTTTAAATCTCGAAAAAACTTGCTGATTTATTACAGAGCTTGTAAGTTTTAATAACAGTAACTAGTATATGATTCTAGAAGAAATGATAATTAGTAAAGATCCCATCACCTTTTCAAACTATAGGTATTATTATCAATTACCTTGGTCCCGCGTTCCCCTTTTGATTTCAATGACGATTCAGTCACTCAAGTATTTACATTATGATTTGATTTAAGATTATGAAATAAAATGCATTAACAAAGTTCTGTAATTTTTTAAAATTTGTGATTAAGGTTGGTTAATATGTGTGATAAGATGACAAATTATATAATTATATTGTGCAAGCGAGTTTCTTCGTCTTTGCTCGTCTCCCTCGCTATCAACACTGATAACAGGTTAATTTACCATGTTTACATATATTTTTCGTATTTTTTCTTGCTAACAGTTCAAAAAAAAGTTGAATATTCACTTCATACAGATAAAATCAGTGATTTGGTTGTTTATAATGCAGAAAATCCGGTTTGCATAGCATACATTTTAGTAAGATTAACATAAACAGCTGATCAGCCTTTGTTGCATACATGTATGACGTATCATGGTCATGTGATCGCTACCTAATTAACTTGGATTTTTAACTGAGAGGTTTTTATTTTAATCAATAATGTTTTATAACCACGTTATCTCCACAATAAAAACACAAAATTTATAAACGATGATCGTAAGGGACATAATATGCTTTTAATTTCAAGTAATTGAGAAACATGAGACAAGTCCTTAAATGTATTCTGAGACTTAAATAATGTACATGTATTTTGTTTTACCTGAAGGGACTGAGAGAGTTTGACAAAGTCTCTCTGTACAGCCTCACTGTTGTCAAGGTCAATCTGAAGGGACTGAACTTTGGCTTTTTGTTTTTGGAGTTCATTCTCTAAATGTGTCTGAAAAAGCAAATTTTAAATGTTGATATTCTTTTTATTGCAATGCAAAATACACATAACCTACACTTGCCTCTAACCAAACACTGGACTGTTGTCTAATGATATACAAATCCTGCCCATTGGCTCATTATATCTAGGTATTTTAATTAGTCTCCCTTTTACTGGATTCCTTTTCTTATGTTTGTATGATACTACAGATGCTGTACTCAGTCCGACATAAAGATCCTGCACCATAACTGGTAATAGACTATTACAGATATTGTACCTCCTTTGGCATGGTAATGCCAGGATTGCAATGCCTTCCTCAGAAATACTGGAAGTTATAAGAAGATCTGTCTGTCCAGACAAAAGGTCAAGTCACAAACCTGACACAGGACTGTTATAAATATTGTACCTTCCCTTAAAATGGATTTTTACAGATGCTGTAAATGTCCTGACAAGTAATTGTAATATATCTAATATCAACCCTGGCAATTACTATTATAAAATCCATACCTATCCCAGTAGAGAATTGTTGAAGATGATTTACCCTCCCTTGCAATAGATTTTAACTAATCCAGCTGTTTGTTCTTGGCCTGTTTGCTATAATTGCTATATTTACCCTAGCGCTGAACTGTTCCTCCACCTGCTGTTGGAAACCAGATATCAGTTGTTTGTTCTTGGTCTGTATTGCTATAATTGCTATATTTACCCTAGCATTGGACTGTTCCTCCACCTGCTGTCGGAGACTAGATATCAGTTGTTTGTTCTTGGCCTGTATTGCTACATTTACCCTAGCATTGGACTGTTCCTCCACCTGCTGTCGAAGACCAGATATCAGTTGTTTGTTCTTGGCCTGTATTGCTATATTTACCCTAGTGTTGGACTGTTCTTCCACCTGCTGTCGGAGACCAGATATCAGCTGTTTGTTCTTGGCCCGTATTGCTATATTTACCCTAGTGTTGGACTGTTCCTCCACCTGCTGTTGGAAATCAGATATCAGCAATCTGTTCTTGGCCTGTATTGCTATATTTGCTACATTTAACCTAGCTTTGGACTGTTCCTCCATCTGTTGTCGGAGACCAGATATCAGCTGTTTGTTCTTGGACTGTATTGCTATAATTGCTATATTTACCCTAGCGTTGGACTGTTCCTCTACCTGCTGTCGGAGACCAGATATCAGTTATTTGTTCTTGGTCTGTATTGCTATAATTGCTATATTTACCCTAGCATTGGACTGTTCCTCCACCTGCTGTCGGAGACTAGATATCAGTTGTTTGTTCTTGGCCTGTATTGCTATATTTACCCTAGTTGTGGACTGTTCCTCTACCTGCTGTCGGAGACCAGATATCAGTTGTTTGTTCTTGGCCTGTATTGCTATAATTGCTATATTTACCCTAGCATTGGACTGTTCCTCCACCTGCTGTTGGAGACCAGATTTCAGTTGTTTGTTCTTGGCCTGTATTGCTATATTTACCCTAGCGTTGGACTGTTACTCTACCTGCTGTCGGAGACCAGATATCAGCAGTTTGTTCTTGGCCTGTATTGCTATAATTGCTATATTTACCCTAGTGTTGGACTGTTCTTCCACCTGCTATCTAAGACCAGATATCAGCAGTTTGTTCTTGGCCTGTATTGCTATAATTGCTATATTTACCCTAGCGTTGGACTGTTCCTCCACCTGCTGTTGGAGACCAGATATCAGTTGTTTGTTCTTGGCCTGTATTGCTATAATTGCTATATTTACCCTAGCGTTGGACTGTTCCTCCACCTGCTGTCTAAGACCAGATATCAGCTGTTTGTTCTTGGCCTGTATGCTCTTTAATGACTGTTCCGTCTCCTTGTACTTTCCCTCAAACTCAGCCCTTACAGCTCCCTCTCTTTCTAACTCAGACTTCAGACTCTCTTGAACAGCTTCAAGAAATTTACAATTACACTGAGCATAAATTATCCATGACAAGAAAATATTAACCAAGTTAATTCTGTTAACATCCCTTATTTTTTAATACATGTATTTACCATATATACTCGCCTATAATTTTGTTCCAAAACTCTGTGTCCGACTTATAGGCGAGTCATAGAAAGATTGGTATTTTTCTGGATGACTAAAGGTAGTATTTTATAAACAATCCCGCCGGTTACACACGGTGAACAAAATCATTTATGTATTCTTTTTAAACCTTTTTAAAAAATATTATTTAAAACCAGCTTAAAACATCAGAGCATTAATTCAAAATTGTCAACCAATTGCGGCAAAAAGTTCTTCTGACTTATAAGCGGGTCAATGGTAAATAACACCAAGATAACTGCAAAAAGTTGAACCGACTTATAGGCAGACCGACTTATACGCAAGTATATATGGCAATCATATTTTATGGCCTTTCACCCTTCTTCTTGTCCACTAATTTATGTGTATGCTAATATATAACTGAAATAAAATATCTCATTGTTTATTAAAACTTCATTTGTTGCACTAATTTATGATTGTGCTACCTAATCAGTTGAAGAGGACAATTGTGCTAAATTTTGAGTGCACTAACTGATGTACTATTTCAGTAAATCCAAAACAGAAGTTATTGTAGAATAGTAAAAGGAAATCATAAAGATAAGCTGTACTTTACTGACAAGATATCTATTTATTTTTGTAAACTGCCTACATAGTAATATTTGATAAAAAAAATCTTAGATTTTTCTGAAAATTTTGATTTATTTTACTATATTGCTTTTGGTGACTTTTTTGATTACTGCCATTGATGAAACTGGAAAATGATTAGGATTTCACCCAAGTTTGTCTTCCTATATAATGCTTGCTTCTGTGTCAACAATATACATAGTGTATTTCTACTAGTTATTGATGGATCTTTATAAAAGTTATGAACAAATGATGAAATTTTAAAGTTAGAAGAATGCTGATGTATGATTTTTTTTTCAGTCTGTTGTAGACATTGGTTTAGCATGAGAATAGAAATATCAAAACTAGAAAAGTACATGTATGACTGGAAGAAAATCCAATGAGCAAAAGAATGCATCATGGGAAAGCCCTCTTGTTTTCCAATCCATCAACATATTTCTGCATTGCACTTCAGTGCCTACCTAGTTTTTCCTGTAGACTGCCTATTTCCTGATTAAGCGTCTCCTCTAGATTGTTTTTCTCCTGCTGTTCAGCGTGGACCTGTGATTTCAGGAACATATTTTCACTCTTCAGGGAACTCTCAACGTGTTCCTTTGCCACCTTGGCTTGAATGATCTCCTCTCTATACTTCAGTAACAACAGCTGCAGCTCCTGAAATATGTAGAGGTTTAATTGTCACTCACTGTCTTATCTTATAATCAACAAAACCACAAAGAAATTATTCTAGTGCAATGATTGGCTGCTTTTTCACTGATCATTTTGGTGTATGTGACATACAGATGTTGTGTTTTGGCTACTTTGGGTAGTGTAGGGAAAAAAAGTGGATTATCAAACAGGATACAGGGAGGAAGGCAGTGGAATCAAAGCCTGAAACCTTTACTTTGATAAATACAATGCAAGGAATCTTCTTAATTTCACAGAGAATGTGTAATTATTTGTGTGCTGAGGTGCTGTAGATGAAATCTAGCTCTAACAGGTTATATAACTACCTTATTTTCCACCTGTTCATATGAGAATGAAGTCTGAATACCAACAGTATATCTCATTCATTTCTAAATGATCAGGATGATTTTATTCCTGTTTTATACTAAAGTAGAGGCTTAATTTAGTCATGATTTTTGCCAAACATTTACACAACAGTTCTTTATTTTACAGTACCTCCATGTTATTGGGAAGATTAATGTCCTCATTCTGTAGCTGTTGAGCGTACTTAGAGTGTTTTCCCATCAGAGAGTCATTGTCTTCTTGGAGCTTGACAAGCTGGCAACCATAAAATTTTCTTGTCACTAAGTATAATGCATTGTGCACATTTCTTACTTAAAGAAGTTTTTTAACAGTAACTGTTGTACATTTACAGTCTGATAAATAAAATAGGTTTCTTAACAAGCCTTATCATGAATATAAATAGATTTTCAATTTAATTTAATTCTAAATTTTTAAATTTCCTCGTGCCTTTTTTACACACTCACCTCTCTTTGAACAGTTTCCCTGTCTTTGGTTAAAGATTTCTACAAAATTAAAGAAATACATCCTTTGTCATTATTACACGTATCATAATATTTCTATTCCACTACTTATATAATATTGAGCTACTGATCATTATAATTGAGTAGAACTTAATAGATGAGTTTAACTAACCAACATGTCCCTGAGTTCGAGCTGAGATTGAGTGTTTTGTTGTCTGACCTCAGTAAGGTATCGCTCACATTCCTGGATTTTTGTGGTTAAACTGGAAATCTGTTGAATAATATTTTAACTCTCAAATGAATTAACACACAGTTTATAATATGGTTTACAGATTTCAGTTTTAATATTAATACTTTTAATATTTTTATCATATTCTCCACAAAACCATAAAACTGTAAATGTCCTTAAACTCATTTAGAAATCATAACTTACTCCAAGGGTAAGCACAGTCTTAGATTCCTTGAATATTTAGCTATGATAAAAATAACTAACTGCTGCCTACCTGGTTTTGAGCCTCTGTTGCTGAGTTGTTGAGACTGTTTTCTAGATCTGTGATATACTTCTGTTTATTCTCCAGCGTTTGTAACTCTCTGTTGAGCCGACGCTCCAGAGACTTGGCTTTTACCTGCTCCTTCTTATAGTCGTCCTGGACATTCTGTAGCTGGGCCTCGTAATTATTACACATATCACACGGTCTCCCAGCCTTCTCCCTCGCCTCTATCAGCTAGATTTCATAATTAAAACATTTTAATTTATATGAAGTTTGCCTTTGTGTTTTCTAAAACAGGTTCTGAAAAGTTATAGGTTCCGTTCTGACATTTGTAGTTGTCTTGTTTATACAGAACTGTTCTTATGGGACTGATACTCTATCTGGGGCAACTCAACAAAGGACCTTGTTAAATGGGATTGGTTAGTTATAACACCTCATGTAGTCATAACCATCATTTGTGTCAGATATGAAAATCTGAGCTGCTCCTATTCAGAGTCTGATATACATGTCCATGTATGTGACCTTGAACTTATCTGACTATCATATAATTATATACCTCTTCATCAAAAGCAATTTTGTAAAGTAACCTTTTAAAGTCTCTGTCTTATAAATTCAGGAAATTTGTGTCCCTCTCACTTAGGGAAAAAGGAAGAGGGTGGAAGATTTGAAAATTGCAGAATGATGGCCTTAAAGTCATTTTTTAAGTTAAAGAAATTCATGACCTTAATTTTCAATGCAAAAGCTTACAGAGAAAGTTATAATCTTAAAACATACCACTTTTGAGCTCTGTGACCTTGACCCTATGACTTTGATTCAAAATCAGGACATATACCCTGGTCATAAAAAAAAAACCTTTCCATCAAATATTCTGATTTTTATTCCAAGACCAGGCTTCAGTCCATGGGATGGACAGACTAACAGGGTGATTCCTATCTATCCCTTTTATTTATACAATAATCTTTAGCTCCTAAATGGCATAAATAGATCCCATATCAGACTTCTACCTGTTTTTGTAGAAGTTCCCACTCCTTTTCACTGACCATTCTCCGTCCCTCTAAAGAAATTCGGCTGTCTGTTTGTCTGGCGGTAGCCATCAAGTTCTGACGAGCCATTAATTCAGGAGTTGGATCTAAAAATAATAAATTAAAAGTAGGGCAACTGCAGGCACTTAATACGGGAAAAATTTCACTGCAAGTAAGAAATCTTGATCTTTCATAAAAAGAATTAACAAAGAGTATGTACAGTGTCTTACATTGGTGTACTTACTCATGAACAATTATTAAATGTAGATACATGTATATCCCATGAACAATTATTAAATGTAGATACATGTTATGCTTTTACTATATGAATGTAAATGATGAAATTCATGTTCACAAGTTTAAAACCCTATTCTGATGATGGAATTTCATACTGTACTTTCAACACTGAATCTAACTACTGTAGATTCCTAAATATACGTGAGGAATAAATAATCGCGTAATTACGCGAGAAGCACCACTTGCGAAATAAAATTACTCGCTTTTATTTTAATGGTGCTTTAATTTATGTATAATCTCTAGATAAATTACCCATTCACAAATTATTTTTCTCGCGATTTGACGCCCTTGGGCCATTTTGCAATATTTAGTACTCGCGTAAAATAAGGAATCTACAGTAATATGATTTTTTTCTCTAACTACCTGTGATTGTCCTCTTACTGACTCTATTTAATATGATTTTTTTCTCTAACTACCTGTGACTGCCCTCTTTTGGACCTTTGACTGACTCTAATTAATATGATTTTTTTCTCTAACTACCTGTGATTGCCCTCTTTTGGACCACTGACTGACTCTAATTAATATGATTTTTTTCTCTAACTACCTGTGATTGCCCTCTTTTGGGCCTCTGACAGGTGAGGCATGTGAAGGGTTTTGTCTGGACTGATCTGTACCCTCAGACCCTCCCCTGTAGTGGACAGGCCGTCCAGTAAGGTGTCCCCAGTTGTGTCCAGTGTGTCATTACTTGGGGATTTCCTAATTAGACCCACATCTGCGGACAGTAGATTGATGCTGGAGTTCGATCCCTGGGAGAAAGCCTCTGTCTGATTCTGTAGGGCATTACTTAAGTCATGGTTCTCTATTGTTTGCAGTTTCTGAAAACAAGAAAATGTTTCCACTGAATATATAGAAACAATTTGATAAAATAGCTGACATATGTGTGTCACATATTATTCAAGCGAAATTCATGAAATGTGTAGTGAGCAGGTTAAGTTGTTTGCAGTCTTACATGTACACACAAGAGTCTAATCGAGTCTAAATGTTTTTGTCAATCAGATGTACAAACATTAGTTTTCTTCCAGATAAGATTTGTAAATCAGCAGCTCTTACCTCAGACACTTGTTCCATTTTCCTCAGAGCATCTGAAACAGTGAACAACCAAAATTACAATCAAGCTCATCATCCAAATGCTAGCAAACTATCAAACTATGCAGCCTTTATAAAAGACTTGTACCACCAATATAAATTATCAACTTTTTTTAACTAAGAGTCAGCGCTTCATTTGAGACATACAATATTTCTGTTTATCACAAACTAAGGTTTTTTTTCCTCCTTCAATTCCCCAAGGAAGATCTCTGACATGGTTTAAAGATAGTTAAAATATGAATATACTGTAAATACATGTACAGCAGGTAAAATATTGCCTCCCCTATATGTCTGATACAGGTTTGCCATCCATAAATAAGAACACTATACAACACTGGTATCAAATAAATTGAATTTTCTCATGTCATTTAAACATGTTATAATGATACATGTACTTAAATTCACATCTACAGTTGTAGATATAAACAAATAACTTAAGTTTGAAATTTCAGAAATGAAAATAAAAATTATAATCATGCAAATGAATTTTGCTAATACATGAAAAATAAAATTGTCAATGAAATATTTTATTAACTTTCATAATAGTGTTGATGTGTTTGACATGCTAAAACACAGAAAAAAAGCAGTCAACAAAATGTCATGCGTTTGATGGCATTTATACACTTACGTCTGTTTAACCGCCGTAAATTATTGATAAGGGCGTCTACAACTATAGCAACAGAACACATCAACGAAACCCAAAGTAACGGGGTTCAAAGGTTTAGGATAATTCTCATTGAAACAATCCAATCAAAATAAAACACACTTAAAGCAAGATTACAGGTAAATTTATAACATCTAGCAGTTCTGAATCATTTAAAGTTAAATCCTGGAACAGAGTATTCAGTCATGCAGTAACAATAATTACCAGTAATGTGTATCTTTTTTTTTTTGCATGGAACTAAATATATGGCTTGGTCATACTTTTAGTACCAAGCAATCAAACTAAGGTTTGAAAACTTATTACCAGATAAGACTTCAGAATTGAGATTTGTGGGCATTTAGATGGAATCCTAAAAAGCTATGTGCTTATATTTAAGATTTGAAACAAGGAAGAATTTCTTTGGGAGCAAGATCTCCATTTAACCATCTATGCAGCTTAACTTCAAAGAAAACACTTTTAAATTAAAAAGAAATAAATTTTCCGCACTCTCTAAGCCTAAATACATGAATGTACATGTATATTTGGGAAAACAAGTGTGACCTACATGTAAGTAAAAAATGCTTAAAATGCTGTGCAATGTAAAGTTTTCCCTGCCTCTGAAATCTACAGAAATCTATCAGAGTGAGACATAAGCTCCAGCTATACCTAGTTTACGTTGCTCTTGTTCTTGTTGCTGTTTATTCCGCATTTCCTCCAAATTTTTTACCCTCTTTTCTTGAGCCTCCCTTTTTCTGTCCTTCATTTGGAGCTCTATAAACACCAGCAAAATCAAATCCAAAGTCATCAAAATGCCAGGCAACCCATCATTTGAATAATGAAAAATTGCTTTCCATCTAATCAAAGAGCTACTAAAACGTATAACCCTATGTGCAAATGTTAGAATAGCTGGTATATTATTTGTTTACATATTGTTAAAAAAAATATCCCCACCCCTATATATTTCAAACCATGCTTTTATTATCAAATCCATGCATTCTTCATTTACTAGAATCAGGAGCAGTAATAGTTTTATAAAACTGTTTCATGTTGGCATCAACTTTTTTTTCAAAAATAATTTTCCCCCAATTTACATGTGTTTTGGGAATTTTTAGGTAAAATATTGACAAAATGCAATTTAATTGAACAGTGTTTTAGATGATTAATACTGTCCACTGGTCACTTTACCTCCAATCTGTCGCTGCTGTTCTACAGTGAGCACGGACTCCATTCTACGGAGGTCCATCATCATCAGTCTCTGGGATTCCAGGAACTGGTCATTGGCCATCTGCCAAGTCTGTCGTAGATCCTCATGGGATTTCTTCTCATCCTCCAGTATTCTACACACTGCATTAGTCACAATCAGTATTTTAAGATGCATATAAAAAATTCTTATAGAGTTTTTAATCACCTACTGCAGTAGAAAGAATTGCAGAAACAACTGTTAGGAATGAGTTAAAGTGATTTTAAAACACAAGTGTACTTAAGATCTGATAGCATTAGAGATAACTAAGATTCAAATCAGAGTAAATATTTGGAAACATTCATTCTGCTGAACCTTACCATCATCAAAGTCCTTTTTCAGTTTATCAGCCTCGTCCTCATACACTTTCTTCTGAGTGGACAGTACGGCGACATACATCTCCAGATCCTTCCGTGACGATTTCTCTGCTTGTAGATATTTCAGAAGTTCCTTGATCTACAATAAATGAAAACCTAAATATTATACTAATAAATAACAACTTATACTGAATACATGTAGTATGATCAAAGATATCAATCCAATATCATCTTTACATGTTCATGCTTGACAGCAGCATACAAAACAACTCTCAGCTTGGTCGTCAATTACAAATAATGACTAATAAATCACTCTTGTAAATCCTAGTATCTAATATTCTAAATCTATAATTATTTTCTAAAGGTCAGAATTACAAGACTTATGGTCAATACTGGAACAAATGCTAATACATATATGTAAAACTATAGACATCAGTTGCTAAAAATGTCTATTAGTAGAACATTTATCAGTAGAATTAGCCACTTAATTACCGTCTTCTACTCTGACCCTTACCCTTTCCTCTGGATCTTTTGACTGGTCCATTTCAGACAGTGACTGTGTGTCTGGGGTCATGTTTTTAACACCGGGTGAGGCCTGAATCCCCTGGAAGTCCCTGGTTTTTTCCCTGGCCTCCTGGAGCTGTTCCTTCAGGGATTTAATCTCTTCCTCTAATGGCATTACTACCGACTTCAAAATCTCAGCATCCGCTTGAGCCTATAGCATATTGTACACTACATTCTTTTAAAAAATGCCAAAATCTTCTTCTTTGATAAACTTATCAACCATATCATGCAATAAATGAATTTCTGACCTTGGCCTTTGACCTTTAAACCTCAAAATCAATAAGGGTCTTCTTTAAATCATAGGTAGTTACAATAGACAATTTCAGTGCCAAAGCTGAAGGACTTTCAGAGATATCATTCGGAAATGAAAACAAATTAAGACTAAGACAACACTTTTCTACAACCATAGAAAGACCTGAAATAAATGAGTGGGATAAGGTCTTTATGGTGTGTTTATACCGACCTTTCTCATGTCGTCCTCTAGACTCTCATGTTCCTGAGCCAGACTGGAACTGGTTCCTACTGACCCTGGTGCCATCTGCTTCAGTTGCTTAGCAACAGACGACAAAAATCCATCTCTATAATGAAAAAAGAATTGATCTAGATATTTGAATAGAAAAATTTCCATATCATTACTTATAAAAATATATTTATTACATGTCATATGTGACTCAGTGAAAGGTAGTAGTAGGTGATTTTTGGGACATGAACATGCAGAACAAAAAAATACACTATACCAAAAAAAAACCTGTATCATTTGTTTTGATTGTTTATGTTTTTATGATTTTAAATCCCATTTCATTTATATTTTTACACTGAGGACTGTGGAAATTGAGAAGTTATGGAATTTTTTTAAAAAAATGTACATGAATTTCACTTCAGTGTTTTCATATTCTAATTCATGAAGATTCTTTCCATTATTATTGATGGTAATAAAATTAATATACGTACATGTATCGGTACATTTTTAGCTACATGTATACACAGGTAATTAGACTGTTATATAATTATGTGAAAGAATGAAAGGAAATGAAAATATACAAATACATGTATCAGCTTCAATTCTCATGAAAAAAGAATGAAATTCAGCTTTTGATTTTGACAAATAAAATGTGCAAGAAATTGTAAGAATAAATTAAACATGTAAGCCCTCTAGAAGATTTTTTTAAACAATTATAGATAATATACACACATATAGAGTGTTATAGATCAGAACTTCCATAAAAAGGTACTAAAAAAGCTACATATACCTGTATAATATTTCTAACACAAAATACCTAAATTTAATGGACTTCTTAACTTTTAATGTATGTGTTGACTCATAAAATGACAACAGGTAAAGTAAACCTTTGTGCTTATTTCCTTATACAGTGATTTATAAATGGGAAAAAGAAATACATTTAATACAGAATACAAGCATCCATTATGGTCTTATATACATGTACATTTTTCTCTTGCATGTCCAAGGAAACCAATACTAGAACCCTTATACCGTTACATCTGTACAACTGTATAATACATAACATGTAGAAACTCTTTGTGTTCTAGTATAATATCTAATGTCATGCAAAGTTAATTGTGTGCTATACCTTAATTGTAACTTCTGAAGAACTCTGAGAAAGTACATACAAGTATATCAGTACAAAGAAATACTAGTAAATACTATACAGATGAAATATTGTTGACACAGACAGTACATTATTTGTTAGTAAACCTAAAGTTTCTGACCTATTTCTGCACATTTCACCTAGATTTCTGAATTATCTATAAGTATTGCAAATTTTCACTTTACATTATACCATTATATCATATCTTTTTTTAATGTATACACACCCGTCTTGGTTTAGCCGACCACGTAAATCTCGAACCTCTTCCTCATACTTTTCACAGAGTTCTTTTAGCTTTCTTTGTTCTTGTTCATATTGCATTGCTGTGGTAGTAGAGGCTTCAGTTCTTACCTCTGTTTAATATAAAATCACATATCATAATACATATACATACACTGTAAAACACCTAATACTTAAAAATCATTAATTCTCATGTGTTCAAATTTTAGTGGCTTGAGGAAAAAATACTGAGTCAAGGGATTTTATTTCATGGTTTAAGAAAAACATCATACTGAAGTATGAAATTTTTAACATTTCGTGGGGAACATGAATTCTGAGTCTCTTCATACACAAGACCCAAAAAAATTGACCCCTCATGAAAACTACTGATTTCACAATAATCTGTTAATATCCCTTGTATTCACTTTAGCCAACACATTGCCTTCATTCTGTAGTACCAGAGTTTGGATACAGGTCCATACTTTACCTTTGACATACACCAGTTTACAGACCTTACTCTGCTCTTTGTGTACAGATTAAAGCAAGTTACCAAAAACCTATTGAATTCTTCTGGTAGAAATAGATGTATGACCGAGTTTCATTTATATTTCAAAAGGAAACAGACATTACATTTATTCTCAAATTGCAATGCTTCATTAAATTAATTTTAATTTCTGTTGTTTAATAAAGTAAGGGAAAAAACCTTTTATTTGTAAGGAACAATTATAAAATTTCACTTTTATTAATTTACCATTGAGAAAAGACTGTAGTGTTTCTATTTCCTCTTTACACTGCCGTCGGATGGCCTCGATCTCATCCTGTTTATTAGATTCAGAGTAAGCTACAGCTGTTTTTATCCCCTCAAGTTCCCCCCGCAGTCTCTCCAACTCCTCAGTCACCGAACTCAGCTCAGATTCAGTCTCCTGATGCTTTTGTTTTTCTATCTGGAGTTCCTCTGTTACAAGTGAGGCAGATTTGTAGTAAATCACATATTAGCAATATATGTTTGATCTTGTAGCTCTTACTATTGCAGGCATTTCAATGCTTGAAACTTAATATTGAAATGTTTGACTTCCTCATTTAAATCAAAACATGTACAATATAATAAGGAGTCCCTTGAATAGTTAGAATAATCTAACGGTGTCTCGGGACAGGTCCCCACCACTTGGTCCATGGGACATTTATCATTTTAACGATGGAACATTCTAGTATCTATCCCTTGTAATACATTCAAATATAAAAATCTTATGAATATGCCTATATTTAAATAAGAAATGAACTGCATTACTTTCTTTTTGTACATAAATCTCTTTGAATTTTGCTCTCTTCTGTCCAAATTCTGCTTCATGTTCCTCAAGGACTTTAACTCTTTCTCTCAATTGAGTAACTTCATCTGTATGAGAAACATGGTAAACAACATTATAGACATGATAGCAAATACTGCTTATTTTTTTATATAATTGTAAAGCAAAGAAAAGACGTGAAACTGTATGCATACTGAAGAATGAGTTTAAGAATATAAAATATAAATATATATTTAGTTTACTTTATGACATGTCATGGAGGCATGTCATGTAAAACTGACCAAAAGAAAAGAAAGAAAAATATATATGCATTGCATTCATAGAATTTAATACATCCTAAAATTGACCGCAGTAAATGGACTATAATTTTATAGAATAATGATTAATATCAACATTATTGTTGAATTTCCTGTGTATCTAGGCAAAATATGGACACTGTCAACATAGCACATCCTGCACAAATGCTACTTTCGTTGGCGTGTCCTATCGCCCGTTTACGTAAATGCATTCTTCTTGTCGATTATTTACTATCACGTTTCATATAAACTGGCTTTATTAACTGAAGATTTAAGCGAATGTAAAATTATTCATTCATGCTGGACACCGATCGATAATTAACGCCAACCTTCAGTTACTGATGCAGAGATCTGCCAAAACCCTTGACTACCTGAGGAAGATGTGGACGCTGTTTCGAGTGGCCCGAACTCTTCACCGTCTGACATTTTGCAGTTAAATTCAAAAGTGTTCACGTCTTCTCACATGCGATCGTTTTCTAGATGTAAACATTTCCATCACTAATTTACATCACGTCATTTTGCATCTCATCGCCACCTACTTCCGTGGTTAACTCTCCTCGGTTTGGAGGTAAAAATATTATGAAAAGGCGCGATAACTCCAGGGTGTATTTTTCGTTAAGATAATAAAATACATACCAATTTTTTATTTTTATTTTATGTATAGACTATAAAACTTTCTCTAATTGTGAATTCAGTTTTTTAATTCCAGTACGGTCAAACCGTAAACACGTTAATGAATGAAAAACATTTTTTGTATAGAGAGTTTTTTCCTAACCCTAGGCCCCTTCCCGAAATGGGATTGTTGAGCTTGGTCAGAGATCCCTCTTTTTTCTTTTTGCCTGTAATTTCTTTTGGGGGAGGGGCTTTTTCTGTTTGCTTGTCCATTATTTTCTGCCTGCCACCCCCCCTTAAAAAATAATAACAAGACGCCCAAGGGCCTTAAGGGTCGCCTGAGTACAGTATAGAGGATCCATAAAACTGATAAATGAAGCTTTAATTGTTGCCCAAAAGAAGAAAAATAGTGTTTATCTGCTTAATACCCAGGAGCAGACCGAATTATTTTAGAATTACTGGCAGGCATTTATACTATATTATTGATAAAGCCCCACCCTTACACCAGCTAACCCAGGGGTCATGAAACTCTAGAAGCACCCTTGCTCATCATAACTATACACTTGTTTCTTTGCCCCCCATCACCAGAACCCCCAACCCCGGGGCCATGAATTTCAAAATTTTGGAAGAGGTATCCTTACTTATCATATAACCATGCACTTTCTTTGTTTATTTATATATATAATACCTAGGAGCAGAGAAGAAGTTTTTCAAAGAATTAATGCATTTTACTAAATATTCAATAGAGCCCCTTCCTAAGGGACCAGGCAAAATTTATCACAATGATGGGACCGGTACAAACAGGCATGGGACAATGAATTTTTTCATCGAAGAAAACCATGGGACAAAAACATTTTTTAGATTAAGTAGCCATGGGACAAACACTTTTTTAAATGAGTTACAGTACTTCACTCAAGAGACACATTTATTATATTTAAACATATTTTATCTTTAAAGTCAAAAAAGGATACAAAGTGCAACATAAATTTTCAAATATTAATACTGCATGCAAAAATAACAAAGTAACAAACAATGTTAATAAGAGTTATGAACATGAACAAACAAATTATTTCAATAAATCATTCAAAATATACTGCTAACAAATTCTAGAGAAACATCTCTTAAACAACCAAAATCAATCATGTATTTTACATGAATGGTCTCTCAAGTTTCATCCATTCATACAACTTTCATAGAACAATTATAGGCATTTATGCCTGCTGTTCGATCCAATTCATTTATAATAAAAAAAATATATTTTAAACTAAAACTTTCATCAATGTTTGAAATACCTTTAGTCTGAAAGACTCCTTCAGTTAATATATAAAAGTAATTGTTAACATTGTACTCTTTGTTTGTTTGTTTGTTTTTTTTTGTTTTTGTTCGTTTGTTCGTTTGTTTTTTTTTTTTTTTTGCAATAATGTAACATTAAAAGTTTAAATCTAAAGATAAGATACGAGATAGTTATAGATAATAAAGTTTATACTTTAGATTTAAACTTTTAATGTAACAATAATCTCACATCAAGATTTAACCATGGGACAGTAACTTTTTTATAAGTCTAAAGGCATGGGACAAAATATTTTTTTTCAATACGAAAGCCATGGGACATGTAATTTTTTTTAATGAGAAATTTTTTTTGTACCGGTCCCATCATGGTGATAAATTTTGCCTAGTCCCTAACACCAGAATCCTGACCCAGAGGCCATAAAAATTCTGAAGAGACATGCAGCCAAGCTCATCATAACGATGTATACATGTACTTAGTTTATTTAATACCGAGAAGCAGAGAAGATTTTCAAAGAACATGGCAAGAAAACTCATCCGGTAAAGCTTTGGCTTGAACTCATGACAATAAAAGTGCAATTAACGCTGATCACTGAAATACCCCTGAGAGTGATTCGGGACAACTGATGGCAACAGCTTTGTGAGATGGATCTAAAGTTCTTCAGCTTCCCTTAATTGTTGAAGACAAAATTTCTAAATGTTATTAAATATCATTTCAAGTTTTCATTGTCAGGTTTTTCTTTTTAAAATGCACATATTGAATTTAATTTATGCTATTCGTATTCAATTCAACCCACAGAAATACGTATTTGAATTTTATGCCTATTATTTCAAGCAGTCCCGAACCCGACCTTCTCTAAGTTTTTTCCCATGTTTATAAACAGTCTCGCCTTTGTAGGTCTTATCTGTTTCACAGGCTCTAAACTGATTATCTTAGTTCATTTAAAATATGCAACAACCCAAATAAGAAGTTTATCAGAAAATCGGCATTTTTATTTTACACCAATCAAATTACGCAAGCTATTTTCTACTCGGCACTTCTTTCCAACAAACAAAAATGTCCACCGTACCCGATGTTTATTTAAAGAGAATTTTTGTGTTTTTTTTTTTTAAATAAATTTTCTTGCAGTTTCTTCTTTTTTTTTTTTTCAAATTCAAATTATACGGAAACATCCTAGAAAGTAGAAAGGCCTCTAAATATTCAGTAACCAATTAACCTGCTATTTTTATAGTTATTTAATTTCAATTTTTATTCCTTTTTTATTGATTATTATTTTTTATTTCAGAGCACAACATATAAAGAATACCCCCCTCCCCCCAAAAAAAGGAGAAAAGTGGATTGAAAGCCTCCGATTGTTCAGTTCCTGCTGTTAAGTTTAAACTTGTTAAATTTAGGATCCCTTCCTCAAAGCTGCAGTTATAAATAGCCTCGCACCGCGCTTATGGGAATATCATAGATTAAGGTTAATTGAGCTTTGATTAAGTTCTGTCTAAATCTAAACCGGAGAAAATGCGCAGAATTTCTTCGGATGATTAATGTATACGTTCACTATATGATCAAAAGAGCCCCGCCCTAACACCAGAACCCCTGATCTAATCCAGGGGCCATGAAATTCACAATCTATGAAGAGGCAGGCATGCTCATCATAACTATGTACTTAGTTTATTTAATATCCATGAGCAGAGAAAAAGTAATGCCTTTTTACTATCGAACTTGAAAGAGGGGTCATGAAATTCACAATTTTTCAAAGAGGCGGCCACCATAACTATGTATTTAGTTTATTTAAGGGGATGAAGGACACATGGTCACATGACTCTGTTTAACTACGTCATAGTCTCCGTTTATATAAGTGAAAAACGTGTAAAGCATCAGTTCTTGTATGAGTTTTTGAAATTTTTTTTAACTTTAATTACCATCTTATATAAAAATAATAGAAAAGTTTTAACATTCTTGTAAACATTAACAAATTATGAAAAAGATTGATCCACTCCTCTGTTTCCCTAAACTGCGCGTCCAACAAGTCGGTGGCGTCATACACGATCTGTTAGTACAGCAAGATCATACTCGGTGAACAGGGGGGCGGTATTATTATGTAAAAACAGGTCATAATCAGTATATGATGAAATATTTTGAGAAACGGGGAACACAAAAATTATTTTTGCATGGCTGATGACGGAAATCTTATGTAGGTATATCTAGCTTACGTGTGACGTCATAGTTGGTTTTTCCCGTACTCGAGAAATGTAACATGACACGTTTTTGTCATGCTTATGTCCTCTTTAACGATGTCCTGTGAAATAATGAGGTCAGCTTCATCATTCGAAACTTTTACAGTTAATCAATAATTTGAAGGATTTGCATTTCAACGTAAATTAAAAAATATTGAATGATAGAATTTTTTGTAAATTACGTTTTTTATTGTTTAAGTTGTCTTAAAAAGTGCGTTATTTTCCCTACCCAGATGCAGTGTGATAGACAAAACTTGCTTTTTCGAATTTTAAATCCTAGTTATGCTCTGAAATATTTTAAAAGATACATGTCCACTTTGATATTTTTTATGTATGCTTAAAAAATCCCATTATGGACAGAGTAATGCGCCCGGAAACATGGAGAATTAAAACTCCACTTAGATACTGTAGGGCATAGTATTTGTCAATCAATATCTCCCAAATAAGGTAAGAAACCTAATGATTTAACTGTTTTAAGATATGTGGGACATACTTAATTAGAAATATACAAAATGTGAAAAAAATTGAATGACAAGTATTTTTTCAGCTCAAGGTCCTTCTCCTCCTTAATATCCATGAGTAGAGAAGAAGATTTTCAATGAATTAATGTATTTTCACTTTATAATCAATAGAGCCCCGCCCTAACACCAGAACCCCTGACCCCGAGGCCATGAAATTCAAAATTTTGGAAGAGGCACACTTGCTCATCATAACTATGTATTTAGTTAGCTTGTTTAATATCCAGGAACAAAAAAGAAGATTTTCAAAGAATTCATGCATTCTCACTATATAATCATATAGAGTCTAGCCCTAATATGAACTACATAGCCCCACCCTAGCACCAGAACCCCTGACCCTGGGGCCATGAATTTCAAAATTTTGGTAGAGGGCTCAGGAGGGCAGGAGCCATGAAATTCAAAATTTTTGTTTTCCTTCACTCCTTCACCCATAGATGCCATATGCCAAAATTGGTTGAACTTGGTCCAGCAGTTTCAGAGAAGAAGCTGAAAATGTTCAATTAAATGTTAACGTACGACGGACGACGACAGACAAAATGGATGGCAATAGGTCACCCGAGTGACCTAACCAAAACAAAAACAAAAAAACAAAAAAAAAAACAAAAAAAAAAAACAGAACAACTAAACAAATATATATATTTATTACATTTTCAACAGTGAAATACTGTGATTTATTTATCGAATAAAAGTAATATTCTCTCACAGTGTGAAAGGATACCAAAATGATATTCTCTCACAGTGTGAAAGGACATCAAAGTAAGTAAAAAATAATTTCTGGCCTGTCATAAGATATAGTAACTAAGCATCTTGATAGAGCTAAAACTGCAAATTTCTTCCCAAATATGTTGCTAAAATCCATGCTATGTAATGTTTTCAATCACACAACTGCTAAGCTATGACGTCTCAACCGCTCAACTATGACGTCAAGCCTATGGCACTGTTAGGAAAAGACAGAGGCAAAGCGAAAATCAAAGAAAATGTAATAAACAGAAAATTCAATGTTTTGTAGATGAATATGGAATTTATTTCACTCGTGAGACAGGATTTTTTGATATTTTCACTCGTGCTTCGCACTCGTGAAAATATCAAAAAATCCTGTCCCACTCATGAAATAAATTCCATATTCATCTACAAAACATTGAATATCCTCTATTTTTATATATATATATATATATATATATATATATATATATATATATATATATATATATATATATATATATATATATATATATATATATATATATATATATATATATACACATATATATATATATATATACACACATATATATATATATACACACACTACATGTAGTAGTATATAGTTTAAAGTTTATTTATTTTGTTCTGTCCCAAATTTTTTGAGTGGGTACGGATCCCTCCCACCTCCTAGTAAAATCATTGGTCAGCCCTTGAATAAGAACGTCCATATACGAATACGGGAATCAAACTCTTTAGTATGAATATCTCCTTCTGAAGAAACAAGCCTCTTTTGTTTTAAATCCTCACCATTCGATATCGGCCAAAACAAGCATTTGAGGTGAACGTTTTTGTTTCTCTGATTTATAGCCTTATCAATAGAGACCATGGAACTGGAGAGAGATGAATCGAATGTTGAGGGATTTAGAAGATCACATTCAAAGGCATCAAAGCGATATTTTATTACAGGAACTAAAAGGAAAGATGTAGCTAAATAAAATGAATCTTATCAAGTACACACACATATATAATAAGAATAGAGTATACTTGGATCAAAATGCACATAAGGTAATTCAGAACCTTTACTTTTTAGAATATTATTTGTACACAGATATAACAAACGTACATCAACAAAAGTCCATCGTATTAAAAGTACTGAAATCTATTATACCAAGACATACACTTGTACTTATAGATATTGCAAGAAAAAAACGAAAGAAAGAAAAATCAAACATAACAAAATGTCCCGCATGTCCCTTGATTGTTAGGAATGCACGATGTGATCAGGGATTCTTGGTCTGACTGTGTTCTCTGATTTCTTTTCTTTTTTTCTCTTGTAACGTTTGGCACAGAACAGGAAACAAACACCAACCGACACCAGAGTAGCCAGCAGAACGGCGGAACACACCATCAAAGTCACCACACCTTTACAATAAACACAGGTGCTTTACGATTACTGATATACGGAAACTGTGCATATTTGTAATGGTCTTATATATTGCTAATAGACAGTCTGTATACACATTCATAGAAGAGGTATGAATGGCAAAGCTTGATAATGTGTTAGATAGTATTAGTAAATTATAGTAGGTTCATTTTAACTGAAATAACTCACAGTATAAATGTATACATAAATACAATGTACATGTATTGAATGCATTGCCTATAAGCTACGAATATGACCTTTCTTAAATATAAACTGGGGAAAATTCAATAACAACACCTGATCCCCCCACCCACCCTCCCAACATGACTTCAGTTGTTATTTTCATGATTTTTGATAAAACATAAAGTTTGTTTGTATCATCTGTCCTTTAATTCTAAAACAATTTTTCTTTTTGTTCAAAAGTCGATAAAGAAGCTGAATTTTTGAGATGTTATTAATTATTCCCCGCTTGATGAAAATCAGATGAAAACTGGAAAACTCTATCAAAGTTTAATATTCCCACAATCATATGATTTGCCCTTGTGTAAGTTTGAAAGCTGACGTACGTTCATCGAGCGAAGAATTTACATTTTCAACATCCAGATTAAATGACTTATTAACATATCATGTATTTATTAGCAACCGAAATATTTAGAAAGGGTATTTTCACATTAAAAAAAATTATAACAGAAAACTTATGACTATCTCATACACAGATCAATAAGAGTATTTCCAAAGAGTGAAACAAAATATACCTTTCTCTCATTATTCGTTATAAAAAATAGCGCGAATCAAACTGCATGTACACTTTTCATTCAGATCGATATACAATTTTGATATTATTCTTTAGGATATATTTTCATTGAAATGCAACACAAACCCAACTGTATCTATGCAGGATTTTTCTTTATGGTTGAGTTTGGGAGGGGGGTTATAAGCGATTTCTGTACCTTGAGTCATACGTTGAGTACAGTTTTGCGATTCACGACAGATCTCCGATTGTCTATACTCGTTCTCCGTCATGTTACAAAGTTTTACAGCACACTCCTCAAATATGGTCTCAGCAGTAACTGACGATGGACAACACATCCCTGGCAGACGATACCTCAATCCTTGTCCACACCCAGAGGAGCAGGGTGACCACGGGGCCCACATTAAGATTCTGCAATATGATGATGCTACACATCTAAATCCAGCACCAGAACTAGGTACAAGTATAATTAACACCAAAAGTAAATCCACCCGATTTTCCATCTTGCGCCAAGTACGCTTTAGTTCTACTCCATTCAAGGTTCGATTATTTGAATAAGATAAGAATTGAACCTTTTGATATATAGTGCATTTAATTCCAATATATTTTCAAGATGCTACAAATAGAGTAATTGAGGAAAAGACAATATAATCAACTATTTGCTAGAGTAGTAATTTTTTATACAATGTTATATATCCAATTTTGATAGACAATGCACCAGAACTTTTTTGTTACTTTACTTAAATCTGTAGAGGGATTTTCTTGAAACTTTGAAACTTTTATTTTCACTAAAGCCCCCACATGGGGTATGTTAGTACAATAAGAGTTTAACAATTGAACAAATCAACATGTGAACAGTTAACATAATGAACCACAAAAAGAACTTTGATATGGACAGTACTGACGGTTGTATAAAAAAAATTTCTTCAGCAAAACATTGGATGGATTTGCAGGGTTATGCCCCTTTTTATAGTAATTCCTAAAGCTAATTAAATTGTGCCAAAGTTATACTTTCTGCTCATTAGATTATATTTTTATGCCCCCGTATCGAAGATTCGGGAATATAGTGTTTGCCCTGTCCGTCTGTCTGTTTGTCCGCAAAAACTTTAACCTTGCCCATAACTTTTGATTGGTTGGGACTACGGCTTTCATATTTCACATGTGTATTCCTTGTGACAAGACCTTTCTTTGGGTACCACCGTATTTGACCTTGACCTTGTAGTTTGACCCAGTTTTGCAAAATTTTACCAAACTTTAACCTTGGTCATAACTTTTGAACGGTTGGTGCTAGGGCTTTCATACTTCACATATGTAATCCTTGAGACAAGACCTTCCTTTGGATACCTTGGAGTTTGACCTACGTTTGGAAAACTTTAACTTTGGCCATAACCTTTGAACAATTGGTGCAAGGGCTTTCATTTTTCACATGTGTAATTCTTGTGACAAGACCTTCCTTTGAATACTAACAACTTTGACCCTTTGACCTTGATTTTGGAGTTTGACCTACTTTTGCGAAAACTTTAACCTTGGCCATAACTTTTGAACGGTTGATACTAGGGCTTTCATACTTCACATATGTAATCCTTGTGAGAAGACATTTCTTTGAACACCAACAACTTTGACCCTTTGACCTTGGAGTTTGACCTACTTTTGGAAACCTTAAACCTTGTCATAACTTTTGAACGATTGGTGCTTCAGCTTTCATATTTCACCTGTGTATTTCTTGGGAGAAGGCCTTTCCTTGGGCACCATTAATTTTGACCATTTGACCTTGATGTTTGACCTACTTTTGAAAAAAAACTTTAACCTTTTCCACATCTATTCAATGGCTGCTAGAGCTTTCATATTTTACAGGTTTATTTCTTGAGACAAGACCTTACTTTGGGTACCAATATATTTGATTTGCATTTGAGAAAGTTTAACCTTTGCTATAAGTTGCCATACGGGGGCATCAGTGTTTCACAAACACATCTTGTTTAATTCTTGACTTCTGTCCTAAAATGTACATTATTTTACACCTATTTGTTTTGCAGCATCAGATTTATATGCTCACTTGGAGACTATATTCAACTTCTGCAACAAGAAAACGCATATGCATCGCATGGTTTTGTCGTATAGCTTATGAACTAGTGTCAATTTATCATCATACATGAAACGACAAATTAATTGCAGTTCACAATTTCCTCTGTTATAAATAAACTCTAGAAAGGGACATAACTCTTGTCAATTTAGTAAATTTTGGAAAAAAATTTTGGTGCATTTTTATGCCCCCGTAATCGAAGATTCTGGGGCATATAGTTTTTGGTCTGTCCGTTCATCTGTCTGTCCGCTTAAAAACTTTAACCTTGCACATAACTTTTGAATGGTTGGTACTAAGGCTTCCATATTTCATATGTTTATTCCTTGTGACAAGACCTTTCCTTGGATACCAACAAATTTGACCTCTTGACTTTGGAGTTTGACCTACTTTTGCAAAAAAAAAAAAAAAAAAAAAATAAATACATGAAAAAAAAATCCAACTTTAACCTTGTCCATAACTTTTGAGCAATTGGAGCTATGTGTTTTATATTTCACATGTGTATTCCACATGTCCAGAACCTTTCTTTGGGTGCCATTACCGTGCCAACATTTTTTACCTTTCGTCCGTGACCTTATATACATACATATTTTATATTTCAAATTATATATTAGAACGTGTTGTCTGACCTTAAAGTAAATATTGGGGACACAAAACCCAATCTCTCCCATGAAAGAAAATTAAATTACTTCATACATACACATTTGGACTCCATGCATTAATCCAATAATGCTTTGTTAAAACTTAAATCAAAAACTCCAAACCATAATAAGATTTATGACATTTATTAGGTACAGGTGTCTCTTTCAAACAGAATAACAAGTTCACAATGTTTAGTCTGGGGGAACATATCTACAGGCACAGCTTTAACCGGCCGGTACGCCTGACCTCGCATCTTCTTAGAAGGTTGCCGGACTAAGCTACAATATAAATAGGGTGAATTCACAAATATTTGATTTTAAAATATGTAATGCAATTCATTTAAATGACAATCTTTTTTATTCAAATACATGTAAATGATTCAAAATTACATGCACATGTATATGCTTTTTTAGGTCTTAAATATAAAGTATGAGTCATGACAGTGAACAACTTACTCTACAAAATTATTCATAGCTCCTCTGGGATTACATGACACAAACACAATTTTCTTCAGAAAAGGGGAATTCCTTAAAGCCCTGATGACTTGAGTGTCTGGAAACATAAAGAATTATTAACTCAAAAAGAGTTTCATTTCAATTTTTCCTCTTAACCAAATTTAATATTAGACATCAAAATGAAGAAGACACAATCTGAGATTACGATAACAAAATTGGTAAAGTTATAGTTCTCTATAGTAATACCTGCATCAATAACTTCGACCATTGAGCAAGTTTTAAAACATAGCTCACAGTTTATTGCTTCAAAATGACCACATGAATAATCTTTTTGAGAAATCATGAAGATATAACAGGTAAGAAGAAAGCAAACTCTGCATTGGCAGTTATAAGATGAAATAACAATGGAGAGAATTATACCGCATCAAAAGACTGTCTATTTTTCTGTAATCTGTCATCACAAAATTATCAAAACACTAAATCATACTTTAAAAAAACCCAGAATTTATTTTGAATGTACTAAATTGTCATGCTTGCGCTAGAGCCTAATAAAATACTGTATAGATAGGATATGGCTTTTAAATATTTTCCGAGGTATTTGGCTTCATTTGATGAAATTTCCATGCAGATGAACTAAGTGTAATTTATTTACAAAACTTCTGGCCAGTAGAGTATAGTCAATTAAGTTAATCATACTTACGTAACCCTGCTCTAGGTGGGTCTACAATGGCTACAACATCCTCTGTGGTGATCGACTTCATGGTCTGTGTAATGATATCTTCAGCTTTACAGCAATGGTATGTGGCATTAGTAATGTCTGAAATGACAAGATTAACAAGACTGCATAATGATTACTAAGATCTTTGAAATCTGACATGACCCGATGTACATGTACATATAATAGTGCAATTTACATAAAAAGGAGAATTTCTTAATTATACATTTATGAACACAAATACTGTAAATGTATTCTATTTAGTGTGTACAATATTTGATGAAAATTAATATTTCAACAAGTTAGCAAAGATTTGATTTAGGGCATTACTGGATATACTATACATATATGCATGACATTTAGCAATGTACTTGATTTAGCAAAACTGCTTTCTACCAAAGGGGCTTCAAAGAATACAGGGCCAAATGTAATACAGGTAAACTTCGGTATCTCGACATCGGATATGTCGACAACCTGGGATATGTCGACTTCCGTCCGCGGTCCTGGCAGTATTTACTATATAAATGATTTGCAAAAACTCTGATATGTTGACCTCGGTAATCTCGACAACCCTGGTTATCTCGACGTATATTCACAGTCCCAAGAGCAAAATTTGCCTGGTATATGTCAACATCTGCAATTTTCTGCTCCACTGAACCTAACTGTTTGTCAGATAGGGTCGCTCGTCACGCACGGACGGCTCCGGGTATCTCGACGTCGTCAAAAATTCACACCTTTCACACCCATGTTTTGACTGCACGCTGCTTAATTAATTCTATAGACTGTGTTTGTAGGTGAATCCAAAGCCCCCTCGGCGTCTTTGAGACGTTAATTGCTTAATGTTCAGCTTGGGTAATATCACTGATAAATCTACATGATTCTGCTTAAATTTACAGGTGTTTATTTATGTCGAAACCTAACATAACTTTTGAAATTGAAAAAGATAACTAAATTACAAAGAATAATAAACATATTGAATAAATTCAAACTAAAGAATTAAACGATGTACTAATATTTTGTAGTTAAAATGCATTCAACAGGAAATAATCCGATTAACGACACGATTAACCGAATCATCCGTAATTCATGCATCTGTAATATCACTAAGTTAATTTAGATACACAAATCTCTTAAAAAATTAATATTAATGCACATTATTCCTGAATGAAATAAGAAAAAAAATAATTTCGCATAATATGTTTTCGTATCTCGGATGTCGACTTTATCATGTTTATACGGTTTGGTTCGAAGTTTATAGAGCGCATTTCGTATCCTGTTCTGACGAAAAAGCAAGTAGCCAAGTAACACGCGAATGCTGGATGGAAAACTACAAAAATTTAGAACGATTTCGATAAAGAGAAAGAACAGGTTTAATAAATAAGATTTTTTAAAAATAACTTCTTGGAGGGATTGCTGAAATAAGTTGACCTACAGTCTATATTGAAGTCATGTACGTATAATAAGCTTATACTAGGGGTGCAACGATACACTAACCTCACGGTACGATACGTATCACGGTATTCAGTTCACGATACGATACGTATCACGATACATGACAAGGTTAAAAAGTCTTTCAAGTTTGTCACCATATTTTTTTTTAAACTTGACAGGGTTATATAAAACGTTCATATTTTTTTGATAAATAATTAAAATAAAATTTTGTTAACTTGAATTGGATTGTTGGGTACATCTTTGAGTTTTGACAATATTCTCAACCAATGATGAACATTTACAGGGAACTACGGGGACCTTTCCTTATAATCTTCCTTTTAAATTGGAATGAAAAAGGAAGACATTCATTCTTTTATTCCTTTTATTTACGTAGAAAACCAGTTGTCATATTTCTCGTGTTAACACGTTTTAGTCAACAAGACAGTGAATTTTCATCGAAATACACACGTGATGAAATATCGTATATTACCAAAGAATACGTGTAGATGTGAAGGGTTTATCATTTGTCTTAACATCTATAATTTATAATCACATTAAGTCCTTCTCAGTGTTAAATCTGAGGTCTGTAAGATGCTGGAGATAAGTTTAACTTCCGTTAATGCGTTATCGGCGACCTCACGTTTTGCGTGGAAGCCATTTTGAAATTGTAAAAAAGGAAACAAAACGAACGATTCGGATAATTCTGGACCGATTGAACCGAACCGCGATATCAGTGTAGCGTATCGTGAATTGAACCATGGAAAAATATACCGCGATATACCGTCAAACGGTTTATCGTTGCACCCTTAGCTTATACACATGTATGTGTTTGGTTATGCAGTGAAATCTTGGACGTCAAGTCTCAACTTTGATATCTCGACACCTAGGATATCTCGACATTTTCCGATGGTCCCGTCGATGTCGAGATAACGAAGTTTACCTGTACATGTATGTTTATAGTTATTGGTCACTGTACATACATGTACATGTCAATCTGAAAGTTACCATTTATCAGCGCATTTCTCTTGGCATTCTCTATAGCCTCCGGACACAACTCTATCCCTATCACCCTGGATACTCTCTAAAAAAAGGAAATATATTAACTCTTTTCTAGGTTATTTTCAAAATCTGTTTCTTTAGCCTTTTAAGTGAAGATTTGTACCTTGGCCAAGGTCAGACCAATGGTCCCAGTCCCACAACAAATGTCAAGGACAGTGGTTGTCTTGGTAACTGCACACCACTCAGCAATTTGTTCATATAAGACTTCTGCTCCTGGTGTATTAACTTTAAAAACAAAACTTCATTTTTTAATCCACATTGACTCAGTACAAAGTTACAAAATATACAACTGACTGAAATGATTTTGGAAAGTAATTCAAATTACCCTGGAAAAATGCATCTGGAGAAATTTCAAATTTCATGCCTAGGAGAGTTTCCTCAATATTCTGTAAAATGAATAAAAACCGGAATATTCATACATGCATATGCTGTCAATGATTGTGTAAATTCTCTTAAATTTTCATGCAATTTCCTCATAAGTCCATAAGAAAATCTACTCAAGCAAATCAGTTTACAGCTATAATTACATAGATGTAAATTTAATTTTTAACTTACAAATATACTTGATCATATTAATAAAATAAATGGAAAGACATAGGCTGTTAACGTACTGTTTTACCCAACAAATGTCTGTATGGCTCACTGGTATTCCCTGTCATTCTGTTAAATAATAGAAATGGTAAAGAAAAATTAGTCTATTCAGTGCTTAACAATGACTTAAACATAAAAAATTTGAGAAATATTGAAAGGCTTTGAAAATTGCCTCAAACTGATAAATACCATGTCTCAATAGATGACACAAGGACAGCATAGCAAAAAGTGTTTTGATGGTCCATAAAAGGCCTAGATATAACTTTCTATAGCTTTAAAATGACATTCAACAGTTACCTATGAGGTATACCAAAACATTGAGTGAGTTTTTGGGCAGAGTGCATTTTTCTGAACTGTTACTGAATTCAGCCTAGCTGCATCAAGCAACAGTTTGGTTCTCCTGTTCGACAATTGTGTTGCACTTGAATCCCATAGATAAATGTATAATGATATATTAACATATAAGATAGCACTAGAAAAAAAGACTGTGTATGTTATATCCTCCTGAACAACATAACCAAAACTGTTTTGATTATCCATAACTTAGGCCTAGATATAAAGGATTCATCGCTGTCTTGACACCCAGAAGCATAAATACGAAATATCCAGTCAAGATAAAGAATAAATATAAAATACTGTATAAGTGGAATTTTTAGCGAGATGCAAATTTAGCGATTTATCCCAAAAAACTGGTATATATTTTTAGCGAGAAGTAATCTAAGTGATTTTAAAATGTCAAGAAAGATATCTATAACAACTGATACGGGTTAAATTGATAGCGATATTCAATTTTTGCGATCTCAAAACCCTAGCTAATAATGCCAAAATCGAATCCTCGCAAAAAATTCTGCTTATACAGTACCCAGTACAAGATAGAGCATAAATATAAAATATCCAGTACAAGATAATCTTTGTTTATTTTTACCTGTCAGAGTATACCCTGAAATACATACAGGTGACCCCACTATTCCTCCCCTCCCCTGTAGAAAAATAATCACGTAGTCTTTCTTCCTCTTTCCTGATCTCTTCCTGAACAAAAAAAAGTGACAAACACTGTAGATTTGAAATGTTATACATGTAAGTAGATGTTACAACCCTACAATATTCCTATAAACTGTCTAAATTTTAATTATTACTAAGTACATTAATTAATTACAGGAGATAGTTGCTGTGGGTGGAAGTCACCAATGGCCATGACATCAGATCGAGTGGTCCGAACTGTCAACATTCGCCAGTGTCCGGCATGTGTCTCGGGGTTGTATGCTCCATACTGTCCACTTCTGATGAAGTTCTGGAAACTCTATATATAGATATTTATTAATTAATACAAGCCATTTTTAAATTTTAATATCTATTTCACACCATATATGAAAATACTTTCTTTTTCAATTAAGCAAAGAATATTAATTTTCCTAGTAAAAATAAATCATGATAGAAATAATATAATATTACCTTGACAACAGTTTTCATGGCATCTGGTATGTTGGAAAGACAGTATGGCTCCCCAACAGAACTTGTGCCATCTTTGTACTGACCAAATCGGAACCCAACTGTATTATCTGTTAATGAGGAAGTCACTGATTACTGAATAGAAAGAAGACAATCTACTCCTAAATTTACAGCATACAAGTGTGTGACACAGAACATACCATTTTTATCCACATCCTGGCCTATGGTAAACTCACATTTGTTTCGATACCCTTGCTGAATAGGCTTAAAAGAAATAATACACATTCATTATTTCAACTGACAATTTATTCTTTGTTCAGACTTCAATGCACCTGATCATGAAAATTCAATTAATTTAAGTTTTCTTTAACACTAAAATAATGAAAACTGAAGTGTGTTCATCACAAAGAATCTTTATATAAATTTGCACTGAGATAAGTACACATGTACTTACAGATGGCTTGATTTGAAGTAGTTCACAACAATGACCATCATATTTCTTCCTGTAGAATGAAGTTCACAGGTATAATTCTTTACCCTTTAAGTAAAGTAAAATCCCCCCCCCCCCCTTCAATCATTTTTTGCCTTTATTCAGACATTGGACAATACCTCTGCTCTGTTAACCAGTTTCTAAGGTCCACATTGCTTTTGAAGATCTGATTAGCATAGGTCTTCATCATTTTCCCAATTTCTTCTGATTTTAGCTGAAAATGTATCAACACTGTGAGATTAAGAGAAGAGATTTTATAGATTAACAAATGAAACAAAAACAGAATGTAAGAGTAGACATGAGACAAGTGTTGTTTACCTCTAGCTGCTTGTCATATGGCATATCCCATAGAGGACTCACAGCTTTCTTTAACCTACAATGAACATGAATCAATACTTTAAAATGAGACAACTCTATCTTTGTTAGACTGTAGGTACTTCTATAACAAACCGCCATCTTTAACCTACAATGAACATAACCACAATACTTAATAAGATATATGTCATTTGTTTTATCTGTTAGGTTCATAATATATTTTAAAACTAAAGGGAATGAAAATAAGTTTGCTGTAAGCATGAATTCGTAATTAGGGTGTTCACTGTAAGCATGTTTTACTGTACTTCTATAAAAAAAAATTAATAGGATACACATAACTGGAAGTGACATTTTCATCTCTTTAAATGTTCTTCTTCAATTAACTTTGGATTATTTTATATAACCTTAACAATCTCTCCATACTGATGTTGTGTAACATGGATGCCATTTACCAGTACATGGCCAAGGTGCAACACTGATGAAAATAGGAGGAATTTTGTGAACACACTGCATCACAGTGGACCTTCTTGTGAATTCCATATTCACATACACCATGTATATAATTTTATACGTACAAGGTGGTGAAAAAAAAACAAACAAAAAAAACAAGTCTCAGCTGGGACCTGAACCCAGGGCCTCTGGTGTACCGTGCCAGACCACTAACCACTGAGATACTGAGACACAGAATATTGATTGAATTTCACACACCTGTTAACCCGGTGACTTATACTGTAACATGGACCATTTTGCACTGTGTGTACTGTGTTTCCACTTTGCTACAGGAAATACATGCAGTGTTCTTGTGAAATATACCATGATGTACCATACACAGTATAAGTGCAATTTTTAGCAAAACACAAATTTAGTGGCTTGTCCTTAAAAATCATTATATGTTATGTCTTTTTAGTGAGATGTTATTTCTGCATTGCAGAAAATACAAGTCTAACTTCTGATGCAGAATCAATTGTTAGCGATATTCAATTATAGTGACTTCATGACTCTCCCTAATACAGGTAATGCCAAAATTAAATCCTCACTAAAAATTCTGCTTATACAGTACCTTGTGTAACAGGAACCATTCTGCAATAGTTCCACATTGCTACATGTGTTCTTGTGAAGTACACCATGATGCACGCTGTACTGTATATATGGTGTAAAATGGACTGTTTCCACTTTGCTATGAGAAATACTTGTCAGCTGTTTACTTACCCTGTACATATGTATATATAATGTAACAGGGACTGTGTGTTTCCACTTTGCTATGGAAAATACCTACTTGTGAGCTGTTTCCTTACCTGTCCTCTGGAGATAAATTTTCGTCTTCTTTGTCAGCCGTTGAGCGTGATCTCTTTTCTGAAGGTTCACCATCTACAGAAATTGACCAAAAATAATGATACAAATACTTTTCATATATACAGTAGACCTTTGATCAATCATTTTACCTGGAATAGCAAGTCTACAAATGAAATAAATCTATATGCATATGAAACCAACAAGGTACAACAATATCATCTAACAATGTACACTGTTAAAATTACAGTTAAACTTTGGTATCTCGAACATTGATATCTCATGGATATGTCAAAGTGATTTAGATCCCAACGACTTATTCTTTAAGTATTTTACCCTGGATATCTTGAATTATCGGATATGTCGAAATTTTTTCTTGGTCTCTTGAGTTCAAGATAACGGGGTTTGACTGTAATTCAAATTGAACTATGCAAGGTTCTGTTATTTAAGTTCATGTTGTGAAGGTTTATGCATTATATACAGTCATGTACATGTATACCGCAAGCAATGCTATTTTTTTCTATCAGTTTACAATAGATCTTATCACAAGCATAACTCTACAACTAGTTGAGTTAAATTAGTTTGATGTATCTTCTTTGGATGTCTAAGTATCTATTTGTTGCATGTTGTAGTTTATCAAAAATCACATGTAAAATCTCGTTATCTAACCTCCTTGGCCACCAGCTCTTCGTTTTGTCAATAAAGGATCTGCAGTTGCACTGGCTTTCTATAAAGAAACTAGGCAATATTAAATGTACTGATTTTATGTTTGCTATTTTCTGAGAGAGAGAGAGAGAGAGAGAGAGAGAGAGAGAGAGAGAGAGAGAGATACCTTGGCTGTTAACTTTTTGTCTCGCCACACATGTCCATGGATTTTGGCAATGGCTGATTCTCTCTCTTCCTCATTTCTGTTAGAAAGTTGAATTTTAAAAAATACAATATTTTTTTGCTAGAACCACTGATCTTATAATTGAGCAAGTTTTTTGTACAACAAAGATCTCTCTATTATACATATTTACCTAAATGTTACAAAGGCAAAAGTGGCTCTGGGAAGTGATTTAATTTTTACTGGTTTTATATCAAGTTTAGCGAGTCTCTTCTTCAATTCCTAAATAAAGGAATAATATGTTTTAGTATCTATAACATAGACATGTAGCTATGATGAGATTTTGTTTTGTTATATAGTAAGGAAATCTTACCAACATTTAAATTAACAATATTTTACCTTAAATCCAAAGCGAGGCAAGTTACAAATTTCTACTTTGAAAATCTCAGATGTAAATTCCTCTCGTCTGGTGTAGCCATAGGGATCCTTTACACTCCCAGTTCCTTCTGTTTCCTCCTGCTGAGTTCCTTCTGTTTCCACCTGCTGAGTTCCTCCTGTTTCTTCCTCTTCAGTTCCTCCTGTTTCTTCCTCCTCAGCTCCTTTTCTTTCATCCTCCCCCTCTAACACACTATCTTCCTCCTCCTCTGTTGCTTTATTCACCTTTTCTTGATCCCCATTTTTCACCTGGTCTGCCTCTTCTCCATATTTGGATTCCTCCAAATTATTTTGTGTGACACCTTCTGACATAAATTCTGCTTTTTTTCAACCAACTTTTCCCCTCTCTAGCTGTGAAAGTGATTTTTGACTGTGCCAATTAAAAAAAAAAGAAAAAAAAATTGTGTATTTGTAAATTTGAAACCCTCTTATCCTTACCAAAGTATTTATTTTACTCTTCAGAAAGAAAAAAGTCGGAATCAGATCAACTTCAAACTGTAGCATGCTTTTTTCCACCAAAAAATTAAAATCTTTTTTTTTTGCTTTGAAAGATCACCAGGTATAATAATCAGCTTCTCACGTACAACACAGGATTCAGGTGTGAGAAAACATCTTATTTACTACACAAAGGAAATTGTAGGAGGAAATAAATTGTAGACCAATTCCAATAAAGCATATCAAACAACAAATGAATTTCAATAATGTTAAGGTTGCAAATTATAATTCATTTGCTTCAAAGAACTCCTTGCCATTTAATATTTGCTATTTAACAAATTTGTACCTTGATGACACAGTCTGCATGCAAAGCTTTATTAATATTGTTGGAGTATTAATCATCATTAGAGAGAGGAAGCTCCTCAGCCATTCGTGATCTGTCTACAAAATTTAATCTTCTTCATTGAAGATTTAGTTTCAATGGGAATGTCTCATGCTATTTTTAGCGAAATAAAGGTAATGGCATTTAATCACAAAATAATTAGCAACCATATAAAAGATGGAACATTCACCACTATAGATGGAAATGATATAAATACATGTGTAGAACTGTTAATATTCTTAATATTATAGAGAATTTTATACTGATTTACTTACGAAATAAGAGGAGATTTAAAAATTTCATACCAATAAAAACTGGTAAGTCAAGTTTCTTTAATTCTTATAAGGCCTGTAAAGGGGAGGGGGGGTCTTCCAAGAATAGTTTTTTGATGTAGTTTTTTTCTGAGAATGGTTCCAATATTCAAAAGAAAATGTACCCAAAAGTTAAAGAATGGTCCAACCAACCCCAGCTGCTCCATGAAATAGGATTGTTAGTTTTGGCAGTCTACTTTTATTTAGCTTGTCAATTTTTTTTAGAGCCCCCCCCCCCCCCCCCCCCCCCCCTTAAAAAACATTGCAATTGGCCTGTGGTACATTTTGTACTGTATTTTATTTTATTCTGTAAGAAAGGAATTACAATCTTGACTGTTTTTTCCTTACAACAAACACAGAATATCCATTCTGACATATATCTTTTAAAATAATGTAAAATGTTATCCATTTTTTGATAAATGTACAGTTTAAGCCTTGGTGTCTAAGTTAATAATCAGAAAGCTTCACCTTCCCTGAGTAAATACAAGTATATTTGGGACAGAATTAGTACATTCAAGCACTTCAGTTGCTTCATTAATCTAGATGCTTGGGAACAAAGCATCCAGCTAAAGTTCTCTAGTCTAAGTTAAGCAACATGTACTCTAGTCTAAGTTATGTAACAGGTACTCTAGTCTAAGTTAAGTAACAGGTACTCTAGTCTAAGTTTAGTAACAGGTACTCTAGTCTACGTTAAGTAAGAGGTACTCTAGTCTAAGTTAAGTATTAAGTACTCTAGTCTAAGTTAAGTAACAAGTGCTCTAGGCTAAGTTAAGTAACAGGTACTCTAGTCAAAGTTAAGTAACAGGTTCTCTAGTCTAAGTTAAGTAACAGGTACTCTTGTCAAAGTAAAGTAACAGATACTCTAGTCAAAGTAAAGTAACAGATACTCTAGTCAAAGTTAAGTAACAGGTACTATAGTCAAAGTTAAGTAACAGGTAACAGGTAGTCTAGTCAAAGTAAAGTAACAGGTACTCCAGTCAAAGTAAAGTAACAGGTACTCTAGTCAAAGTAAAGTAACAGGTACTCTAGTCAAAGTAAAGTAACAGGTACTCTAGTCAAAGTTAAGTAACAGGTATTCTAGTCAAAGTTAAGTAACAGGTACTCTAGTCAAAGTAAAGTAACAGGTACTCTAGTCAAAGTTAAGTAACAGGTTCTCTTGTCAAACCATGACATGGGATTTGCTGTGATGTCAAATCGATTTTACTTAATTTAGACATTATTTTCATGTCAATAGTAACACTGAGCCTGATTGCACTTTTTTTCACATGACCCCAAAAATTATTACTCTTGAGCAAGCTGTTCACACAGTTTTGATTCAATTGAACTTTTATCTCTTAATAACAATAATCTAATTTTCAGGCTAAAATGTGTGAATTGTATTTAAAATCCTTGTGCGTTTTTTATATTTGACCTGGCTCTCCTCCCTTCAGGCTGTTAGAAGTTTGAAACTCTTACAGAAAACTGACTTATACCAGAGACAAAAATAAAATGTTATTTATGTCTCTGGTTAAACAAACACTAATGTTGGAAATATTATACTTTATGGTAGTAGAAAATGACTTGTCTGTCACCTCAAATAGATCAAATCCTACTGTGATGCAAAGAGCACCATAGAGGTCTGAACCAGTCTGTACATGGTTTTTTTCCCTGCCTCATCTAATGTAATGATTTTTTCCACCACGCAAAATCTATTTTCCAAGTCAAACTATAGAAAAAATACTGTGGTTCCATAATTACCAGTATTTATCAAGTTGAGTATTATCTTTATTAAATTAATATATTATTGATAGGACATTGTACAAGAAGTATTCCTGAAAGTATTTCACTGATTCAACAAAAATTGATAAGTACTATGATTATCGGTCGAAGCAGCAGCCGATCTATTTCTTATTGTGTTGGAAAGTGCACATTGTTCCTTAATATGCAAGTTTCGAGAATATCTCCTTTGGTGCGCTCTTTTGTTATGGAGGGGAATTTTGTTTCAGCATAAACCAGCAGGTAGGACAGTTGTTTATATTGGATATGTTACATCATCTATAGCGGTCTATCATTACTGTCTATCGGGATGCTCTCATCAACTCGAATATATAAGAATTTTAGTAATGGCATTAATTTGTTTTTCTACCCAAAAATCGGAAATAAAACTAAAATATCAATGGATAATACATCAGACGAGGGAAGAGACATGGATCTCCTATACACACACATCTGATCTTTGCACGCCGACATTCTGAATGACACATCACCTTTTTCCCTTATAATAATTTCAACAGGTCCATCATTTTTTTTTGGGAAAGGTTTGTAATCAATTCAAGGAAGCGTCTTTTTCACAAAAAACTATGAGGGTTCTTTTGATTTCAAGTATCCTAATTAAAAGTAGATTTTGTAAAACACGTAAAGTATAGATCAACACAATCATCAAAACCATCACTGTTTGACATTATGTATTCATGTATAATCTTTCCATAACATTAAATACATTTTAAAAGCTCTAGCCATCGTGTATTTATTTATGCACGTTTGTGTACATTGATAACCTGTCCCACTTTCATGCTGATATGGATACTTTTTGCGCCTCTATAGTTGGAGAACTACAATCTCGAAACATGCGTATTGATAACATATATCAAAATTATGAATGAAAAGCCTTAAAAATTGTTCTTCCATTATGCCTTAATTGTTGTTTTATATGTTTCAATTGTTTTATTTTGATCAGATATTTATTTTAGGATTTATCAAAATGAGTTTACAAGAAGACATTAAACTAAGTGCTCTCCTGAATGGGAGTGTTTAAGTACAAAGTATAATGGCAACTCGTAACAAGTTTCAGCACTTTTAAAAATTATAGAAAAGTTGGTAGTCAATTTTATTTTTAAATATACTACAGATGTAAATGACACAATGACAATTTTTTTCAACACTTGATATTAATGTCATTGTTATGTTCATTATCAATCTGAGCAGCACATTGGCACCATCACATGATGTGCACGTAGACTAGCTGAGGGTTTCAAGTGGAGAGTTTGTGGCCGAATTATCTTGTTTTAAAATAAGACTATCTTGAAAGATTATGATTTTAAAAAGGTACATTACGTATGACTTTATATACAGACCAAGAGTGGAACATTGAGTCTGATGTTAACAAAATCATATATAAGCAATATTTTTTTTTACAAACAGAATCTGTTGCACTGGTGTGCCAATGAACCAAATACAACTAGCCCTTTGAACAATATGAAAAGCCTTTAAATCAGCTTATCAAAGAGGATTTTTTCCATACTAATAGCCTATTCCAAGAGTCATATAATTCAAATTCTCACACCTGAAGACAGGTGGAAATCTCAAAACCTAGCTAGGCGACTATAAATGCAAAATTATAACACAGATGGGTGATGGCATCCTTTTTGCAAAGTCACATGTGCTTCACTACAATTCATTCCATTGGCAAGCAAATTAATCTCAGCGAGATTCACTGAGACTAAAAATTTTGGACAGACATCTCTACGTAGAGACGTCTGTCCAAAGTTTTTTGTCTCAATGAATCTCACTGAGATTACTAGCAAATTAAAAAGCATATATACATGTACTGCAGATATATGATAGACTGATATTGTCTTTTTACTCCTCTGGGCAGTCCTCTCATTATTTATTTATTTATTCAATTTGACAAAAACCACATGTGGCGCAAGTCATACATACAGTGAACAAATATATAGTCACACAGATTTTCTTATATTAAATGCATACATTACTCCCACACACAGGCACCTGACTTACGGATAGTGTACCCTCCCCCCTCTATAAGCGTCGAAAATCTCTTTTGAAGTGGGGCATCCTGTTTGTTTAAAAAAGGTTTGTTTCTCACTTTCAGTAATTTTGTACACCGGTAGACAGGTTGGGCACACCCCACCAAATGGTCATTTATCCCCCGTTTGGTGGACAATCTCCCATATCGGAGACGAATTTTACTGACCATTTGGGACAGAAAAATGGTTGTGTTCAATTCTATAGAATGGCGTGGAATGGCGCATAATTTTAAACCATGTGGAATAAAATTTAGATATTTATCGGTGTTCTGAGTGAAAAAAATCGGAAATTCAATGTGTAATTTTTTGCGCAGAGTCGTTCAAAAATTTGACAAAAAATGTCACGTATGTAAACAAGTGCAACCTTTCTCAATTTTTACTTAAAAAGAAAATTCCCTCCTTATCCAACGATGCTGCACCTGTCAATC